CCCCTCACATCAGAAAAGCAGTTTTATATACTGCCCTATATCACGCGTGATAATGAGGCATTCTTCCCTGCGGTTCATTTTCGGATTTCTGGAATTAATCCAGAGTGCCTCGAGAGTTTTTCGCGCCTGTGTTCTTGATTCGCGTGCGAGGATCGTGACACATACTTCGAAGTCGTCCCCGTTATGTCTCTGGGTCCTATCGGGTGCCTAGCGGGGTATTTGGTCTATTTTTGCCGGCTAGGTGTTGTCTATTGTCATTGTCATTATGTCCACTCTAGGACTTCACTAGTCAAGCGTAAAAGCGGCAAATGGGACAAGCTTTGTTTGGTCTATTCCACCGAGCGTATAATGGATTGCTGAAGTCCAAGCGCTAACCATGTTTTACTTAACAATCACCATATCTCTTGTGTGTTAGACAAAGATTTGTGGTGTACAAAAAAACATTTGCTCGACTGAGGTCGAGCAGTGAGGCGTGAAGATGTCTGAAAACGTCGTACGCTGCTGCCTGACGGGATGAGTGCGCAAGCGCACAGCTGGCATAACTGTCCGAGGGAGCAACTGAGCTGTTCAGCAACCAACTGAGTCGTCACCTAAAAACAATACAACTACATTTGCAGAATATTATTCGCACTCATGAGGTTGCACGAGGTTGCTTCGAAATCGTTATTGTGGCTAACGTTTCGGTCCCTTCATCTTTTTCGAAGCCCGGAACCGCAGTCGTTTGAGTCGAGTGTCCAGAGCTGTTCGTTCATGCGATTTGTGTGGTCGATCGTTGTGTCGCATCAAGTCGAATCCAGCAGAGCGGAGAACTGCATGAAACGAATTCACGGATGACTAGAAGGGTGCTGTAAGAGCAGAACTTTGGATTGCTTCCCTTCACCGTAGAGGAGATTTGAACTAAAATAATCTTTTATTAACGAAAATCTTGCATGTGAACTCATAAAGTTGGATGACGAATTTATGTTTATGAAGAAAATCATTCTCACATCAGCACAGGGATTTCCGAAACAAAGCTAAAATTCTCTGCCTGGATCGAAAACACAGATGCTTGATGATCAATGTGCACTTGTCAGATTGTTGTCTTCCCCTCAGAGAGGCAGCTATAATATATCCATCCAAAGCAACTGAGAGAATATCGCATGGAGCTGCTTACGTTATCATCGAAATTTAAGCTGTTAATCGCAGTAAGCAGAGGGAGAGTAGCACAGTGCTAGTGATGTCGTTCAGTACCAGCAAAGCGCTGGTTCGAAGTTGCACTAAGCTCACCAAGCTTCCCATCCCTCCAGAATACCCTGGCGTGGCTATCGGAGGACTCCAGGAAGAGTCCGCTCGGCAAGCATTCAATTATATTCATTAAAAAGACTAAAAATTCTGTAGCTGCACCCAAACCAACAAAACCAATGGCTTTCGGGAGTGACGAATTTGGAGAAACGAATTGAATACGGCAAATCCTCGGATCCGCACAGTACTCGTGAAGGGGGTCATGTTAAAAAAAACTGCTCTAGGCAGTAAGTAGAGATTATTGCATAGTCATCTCATTCCGGCTTGTCAACAAGTCGAACAGGTCTTCGAACTCCTTATCAGTGAATATCTAAATTTACTCTCAGCACTAGAGTGATGCGCCTTATTGAATCGTCAAATCGTGAATCTTGTAGCAATAGGCAGTTTCACAAGTGCTATGCATCTATAAGGAAGCTACAACAAAAGCTTCAAATTCTTCAAAAACCTAGTCTCCTTGAGAAGACCGTGCAATATCAAAAGATATAGTTCTAGAACCGAGAAGAAAGATGCTAGGAAAGCTCAACAAGCTAACTAGTGCATTTAGGAGTTTGTGAAACCGACGGACATTATTTGGATCCGCGCCCACTTTTAGAATTTAAGGTACGTTTATACGTAAGGTACACCACCAAGGTGTACTTTTCTCATTGATAAATTAATAGAAGATTGATAGAAAACCTTATTCGGCTAACGTTTTAGCGCCTCCGCTTCCTTCACGGCCGGATTGTTCCGAGTCGATTGACCGCAGTTCCCCCTTCTCCCAATCTGGTTCGATTTTTAACAGAAAATCGGTATCGACAACAACGATCCTTTATAAAAGAGCACTACCGAGTGAAGTTACTTTATTCAGATGGTGCTCCACTGGATTCGACTCGACGTTCTCACAAAGTGCCACATCGGAAGAAGGAACAACTGTGGACAATTCACTCGGATCAATCCTGCTCTAAAAAAGGCGAAAGCGTAGAAACGTTAGACGAATGTCTTCCTATCAACCCCGTGCTACCTTAACAACGAAAGAATATATGTTGATTAGCCATGCTGAGGTTAAAGGAAAGTCGTTTTCGAAATACTGCTAACACCTGCAAAAGTTGAAACGAGATTAGAATCACTCAGCGTTATCGAACACTTTATGGAGACGGTGATGCTAGTGATTCCTACATCTGTAGGTGAGAGGGAGAATCCGAACCATAAATCTATGCTGACGGTCAGAAATCCGTAAAGCTCCCGCACAGCCCAAATGAGGGAAGGTGTAGCGGGTGCTTCTCGTCCCTTAACGACGGGTGCTGGATGGAACCCTCTTCGAGTACTGCTCATGGGGTATCATGCGCACAGAAAATCAGTCCTGGGGGAAGCACAGTCCTTCGCGAAGCCATTAAACGAGGAGACGTGCCTGGTTTGAAATGCTTTGCATAGAGGGACCCACTAATGCATTATAGAGTACGACACCCGCGACTACAGCGTTGTTCACGGTTTCCATAGTACTTCAGCCACTTTTCCAATCATTCTATTGCTTAATATCGAAACTTATTATTTGTCTAATACGAATTTCACTTTCCATTTACATGTTTTTGTTTCACTTTGCTCCAGTCTGTTGTGAGGATGATTACCGCTGCCAGCGCTTTTCGTGCAATTCCGTCGCATTCATTCGTATCTGGGAGGACTACGCCCGCTGACACCTCGAAAGTTGATAACTTGAAAAAACGTGGTTCGTCTTCGAATTTCTAGAACAAGTTCTGGATGAATATTCAGGACGATTGGCTCAGTCTATGGAACTTTGGCACGCACGTAAGAGGAAAATTTCGTTGTAGAGTTGCCAGCTCTAAGTTCGACATAATAAGGCTACATCAGTACTACTTTGTTGCGAAATTTCGTGAACCATTGGATGCGGTGAAATTCCGTGCATAGCTCCAAATGTTCCGACCAAAATCAGCAACATCAGTCGGACTTCGAACCCGTGATCACACTTTCAGAGGGATCAAGGATCACGCATTACCAGCTGCATCATCAAGGCCTTTGGTTTGCCTTTCTCCCAGCCAATTTTTTACCCTAACGGGACCATCAGGCAACGCAAAACGGGCAATCACTCATAAATAGTATGCAGTAAATGAAAAGTATTGTAAGGCCTATTTGTGCTCCCTAGATCATTCCCTTCGACGGGAACTATTGACATTCTAGGAACCACTTGAATAGTAGAGAATGTTCATCGTAGCCTCACGTTCGTTAATAATCCAAGTTCTTCAGCAGCGTCGAAAATTTGAGTAAAGGAGACATGAAAAAGAAATAGACTCGGTTAACTACTGCATGTTTCCTCAAAGAGAGACAGAACGGTTCGTGAATTCCAGGACCTCTTCAATGTGAATTCGTTACTTTGCCTCCAGAATTCGAATCCCTCCTGATCTTGAATATTTTCATTAACCACCTGGGAATTCCGGTACACAGCGATACCTTACTGCTACCATGAAGCCGAATGGTTCTAAACATAATTACGTAAGATTTATAAAAATGATTTCACCTAACACGTGTATCACCTGTCCTCCCGTTGGCCGTCGAGTGACTTGAGCGGCCGCAATCGAGCGGGTGCCAACAAATCTTCCATTTTCTCTGTCGTGTGCAAGAGTAGTCTAGTAAGTTCTCCTCGCTCTAGAGACTCGTTGAGCAGCATCATACCTTCCTTACAGGCCTTACTATAGAGAATTCCTCTATCAGATAGAGAATTCTCTATCTACCTAACAAACATATTCTATAAGTCGGTAGAGATGATGAGGGAACGCAACGGCTAGCTCCAAGGTGTCATCAGAAACCAAATGACGGTGCTGGTGTACGTGGCTACGTCCAGGTGAGTAGCGTTGGTCGCAGGGTCAAGGCTCAGGTCGCGGGTTCTAGTCCTCAAGCAATGAGACGTACCCAGTAGCATAACCGGTGGTTTGCCTGATGGCTACGAGATGCTGTGTCTAGTGGCGTGCCCGATGGTTAGAAATGGATGTGGATGTAGCGCACGTACGCGGGCGTTGTGGCAAATGCAGTCTCTATCGACTTATATAATGTGTTTGTTAGGTAGATAGAGAATTCTCTATCTGATAGAGGAACTTTCTGTATTTTCTTGAAGAATGACCATCGAGTCGATGATCTTCCGACAGTACGTTTGACATTCCGGGGAACCCAGTCACTAACGGCTCCTGCCCATCGGTTCGTTCATACGCATTACATGTCCTGTCCACCTTACCTTCGAGTGTTTAGCGTATAAAACGGTATCTTTGATTTCTGATTGTTGACGCAGGTCGAAGTTTCGGATTCCTTCCTTTACTTGTATGATACGTGATACTCTTACTGCCGTCCTTTCGTCTGTACGTATAATAACAGAGTAGTCTTTCTCCTGTTTACGTAGCGACCAAGTTTCTGACTCATACCTTAAGCAGGGAAGAATCGTGGAGTCGAAAAAGTCGGCACGGAGTCGGATGTTTTTTGTTCACTTCACTACATCCTCCATGTTCTTGAAAGCTCCCCAACCCGCTCGTTTCCTTCTGCTCAACTCCGGAGCTAAGTCGTTCATCATGTTGACTTCCCAACCTAGATCCCAGTTTCACTTATAAGGCCATTAATTTCAGGATTCTAATATCAATAGCTCTCTAAGAACATACACGCAGAACTCGTCACCCTTCAAGTGGTAGTAGAAGGAGTAAAGTGTAAGTTTGGAGTGGCATAATACGAAGTTGTAGAAGCTATTATACGACGCTGCTTTCAAATCCATTGGATAGACTTAACGACAAAGACGACTACGTCATTTTCAAACTCCAAGTCCCCTCTCATATCTCCTCAGATGGCAAATCCTTGTGCTGTCGAGCTGGCGCGTGCTTCAGGTGGCTCTGGCGCGCGAATGTAGGATTTCATCGGTGACTACTCAAGTTGCTTATTTATAAGAGGATTTTCTAATAGGCAGTCTGCTGATGCGTGAGATTTTCTTCCACGAACTCGAGTTTTCCTGAAGTGATCTGCGTAAAACTAAACCTTTGCTCCCATTCCTTCTTTGAAGAAAATCGATTCATGGGATATAGTCGAGGACATTGAAAAGGTTGCGAAACACGTAGTTACTACAATAAGGATAGCACTAGCAGACGTCAGTTCCCAACGCTTACCAAATGTCGAATGTCTTCTGCCGTTAGTCGCCGTTCATGAGCGCTCGTACGAACAGTCGTCAAACCTTCACATTGGACCATTTGATTGCCTCACTCAATTCGGACCTAAACTTTCTTCGTCTCAATGCGTATAAGTTCAAAGTGCATAGTGTAACTTCCTCACTCGATTTTTCTTCTGCATCGTGGATATTCCACAAACATGCTGATTTCTACGGAGGAATGGAAATGTGGTGTGCTTACGATCTGGCACACTTCCCTTCATTTTGATCTTAGCTTTTCTGTTTTCATAGAATTTAATGAGCATAGGTTTACAATCACCACAGGGACTTTTCAACCATAAAAACAACATTTTATTTTCAGAATTTCTTCATTTTGGGCTCTGGGCGCACCTTTTTCAAAAAACATGTGTACGTCTAGAAGGTTTACTTTTCCTCGTTCACGTTTCCTTCCATTCAAAATCCTTTTTCTTAGATTTCAACCCATCTAAGGAGAAGCGCCTAGGCTCGAAGATTAATCCAGGAAAACTCCTCAAGAAGGCTCATAAGTCTTGGGAACAGCTAAAGCGTCATGATCCTGATGTTGAAATTTCTGACGAAGTGACTGAGGTTCTTTTCAGCTACCTTTGCACACTAAATTAAGTGGAATATATCTCATTGCTTCTTCCTTCAATATAGCCTATTTTAGCATCTTCTTGTCAGCAACAGTAGCGCACTGTGCGGGGTGTCCCTTGAAGAGCTGGAAGAGATCTTCCGACCCTTCGATGATAAGGCTTCGTTTGTATTTTTCCCTTGTAAGAGGTTAGTTATTCTTCAAGTGCTATGTTTTAATTGTTTAACTTCAACTTGAAGGTCATACTCTTTCGTGAGTTTCTCATCGAAGGAGCGGGCAAGCGCCGCTAGGGAAGCTCTTAACGGCGTAGCGCCTGTACAGCTCAAAGTCTCTCATCAACCGTTTGTGATATCATATGTGAAGCAATGTGAGCGAACAGGGTTACCTTTCATTTCGTTGGTGCTTCTCCTTCAAAGATTCTTTTAGTACCCGGTGGCGAGTTGGCTTCCAACTTATCATATCCAATGGACCTCGTACTTTTAGACGATTACATAACGGAAGAACAAGAATTGGAATTTATGGACATAATCGCAAGCACCGGATCTGGTGAGTGGAAATGTATGTGGCTGCTTTTTAATTCATAATCTTATTCGGCTTTAGTTTTCCAGCTGAACCCTTGAAGCATCGTGATGTTGTTCATTATGGCTATAAGTTCGACTATAGTGCTAATTCTGCTTTTATCCCTACAAATCCGATTCCAGAAGCAGTTAATCGATTAATTGATAGGATTATTGACGATGGTCTAATCAATTTTCGGCTTGATCAGGTGCACCTTAACATCATAATCTGTAGCATGGTGTTTTAGAAATTCAACCTTTCAGGTGACAATCAACGTCTACAAACCCGGGCAAGGCATCCCTTCGCACTACGATACACACTCGGCCTTTGAGGATACCATCGTATGTTTGAGGTCAGGTGAACCTCGTTCTATTTTTACTTGACTACCTTTCATCTTTAAAAATTTAAGCATGTGCTCCGACATTGTAATGGAATTTAAAGATGGCGCAAATTCATCACGGATTTGTCCTGTACTACTTAAACGGAGATCCCTATGTATAATGAAAGGAGAGTCAAGATACCGTTGGAAGCATGGGTATGATACAGATGGACATAGTACTGTTCTTTTACCTTTTTTAAACCTTAATTGCACTTATGTAGATGTATATATGTAATATTTATATGCGTATATATACACATTTATATGGCCGAGTTTCAAAATTTTTTTCATCTTTATCTTCCATTTCAAACCTCATGTTAGCTTATCAAGGAAAGATTGCATACTGATTAGTCATGCCGAAGTTAAACGAAAGTTGGTTTTTTACATTATATGTACACATGTATATATATATATATATATATATGATGAGAGAAAGGCGAAACAAAGGAAGCAAGGTGTGGTGGTGAACGCGTTAGAATCGGAAAGGGTAACGGCGTGTTCGGTCCCCACTGCAGACACCAGCGGTTCGGGGTTTTGCAAATATCTCATCATTATGATTATATATATATATATACATGCAATATTTATGGTTTTCATTTAAAAAGCGTATTAATGCAGCGATTAATAGCATCGAATTTATTGGAATGCTGTAGATCTTTATAGGATCATAAATCGAAGGTATGATATCAATCCGATTACTCATCGGGTTATGCCTCGTGAGTTTCGTGTATCAATTACTCTACGAAGAATACGTCGAGAACCATGCGAGTGCCAATTTAAGGAGTATTGTGACTGGGACAGAGGAGGTTGTCTTTACTGCTCTGAATTTCTTCATGAATGTTATCCAAAATATGAGGGTGTTTTAAGGATCCGTACCGGATAGTTGTGGGTAAGAGATGTGCCATTTATATTTAAACCAGGGTACACTTCTTTTGTGTTTGGTTCGATTCTGAAATGTGAACATAGGGTGACAAAATCGTTTTCGCCTTAGATAAAACAGTGTTCAAATAGGTGAAATGGGTGTTCCTTTCGATGAAATTTCCGCTCGAAGAGTAGAGAGTCTCTACGTCAACGGAGTGTACGAATGTATTGCATCTCACTTCGATGAGACAAGGTTCTCAAGTTGGAGGGCCGTAAACAGGTCTCGTGATAATCCATTTCAAATAATATTAGATATACATTTTTGGTGTTCACACCATATTTGATCTCAAGTGTAAGCGTTTCTAAACATAAAATCAGATTCATGAGCGCCGTGCCTCCGTATTCTGTCGTGTATGACGTTGGTTGTGGAAATGGGAAGTATCTTGCCAAGAGTGATAATCTGTTAAAGGTTTGTTTTATCAAGCACTTATTTCTCGTATGTACATCTAATTTGTTGTTGCCTCTTGTTGTCGTCCCAAAAACGACTGCGTTTGAGACTTAATTCTTTATGACTATTGATAGTTCTGTGTTTATAGTTAATGAGTACCTTTAGCTACGAGCTTATCTCAGTTGTCTATTGTCGTCTTATGCTATACGATATTATCGATACTATGGCATTATACTAAAGTATGCGTCATGTATTAATGACAATGTATAATAGTAAATCTGCATGTTTAATGTGGTGCAGGGATTAGTGGTGCCGTCAATCGGGAGGAAATAAAGGCGCTAGTTAGTTCGACCCCTTCTTCAACACTGTCCTCCAGTCCATGTGAGAACGCCTTAGTCAGGCCATCTCCACGATTGCAAGGAGGGTTGACGCGACCATCACTCTAGGACACATAGAAAAGGCGTAATCTTCAAGCAGCACACTAAACAACACGCGATGTGTCCGAAGATCGCTGTGGACGGTGGATGTGGCGGAAACGAATCGAATGCAAGAAGTGCTGCGATATGCACTGTGAATGTAATGATGGGCAGTGTCAAATGAAATAGAATAATAACATTTATAATGTAGTTACTTTATATTTACTGGCTATTCCTTTATCATGGCAGGGTATTAGCTGCATCACCCATAGTCCCGTTGATCGTCGAATTACGCAAGCGGGCGCCAGCAAATTTTCCATTTTTCACTGTCGCGTGCAAGAGTAGCCCATTGGGTTCTACTCGCTCTATCGTAGGGCATCATATCTTTCTTCTAGGCTTTTCGTGAGGAACTAAATTGAAGGGTATAATGTAGTATAAAGACGGCTGAGAGAAGTTTGAAACGAGGGACCCGCATGAGTGGTGGCTAGCCCCCGGTAAGGATAATAACGGGTTCGATCCCCACCGCAAACACTTGCGGTCCGGAGTTTTGCAAATAGCTCAGCATCACTGTGATTCTATTTCAAGTTCCATTAATTAATTTATTTATCATGCCATTAAAAAATAATGAGCAATAAACAAGAAGTAACTAAATTGTGATTTACACTATTGCTTAAAGTTAACTGAGTTCGATGCTGATTTGTGCTCCCCAGATCATTCCCGTTGACGGGTGACTGCTGATGGCACCTGTAGCATTAAAGACGGCTGCGTGAAAGGTGAAACGAAGGAGCCGTACGGTATGGTGGTGACCACGTTATCCCCTGTAAAGGGTAATACCCGGTCCGATACCCATCGCGGACACTTGCAGCCCGGTATTTTGCAAATATATCAGCATCATTGTGGTTGTATTCATATTGTTACATATTGTATTATGATACTCCAATAACCGACTTCATGTTAAGCTCAGGATTAAGTGGATTTATTAAGTTAATTGTATTATATGGATTTATTAAGTTAATTGTTCTACGGCATTGTTCAATAAGTTACTGTTTCATCATTATGTTATTGTTCTATTATATGAAACAACTTGCTTTCAGATAGGATGCGACATGAGTCAGATGTTATGTCAGATTGTTAGTGCTAAAGTAAGTAGTACTAATTGCAACGTTATGCCAAGATTTTATTTGTCGTCCATACGCATATGAGTTTAGAGATTTATGGTTATTCGGGCAGACGCCCTATGCTTACCCTTCCGCGAAGGAGCAGATGCCGTTTTATCCATTGCGGTTTTGCATCATATGGCATCATTATCACGAAGGCAAACGGCGATCCGTGAAATCCTTAGAGTGGGTTTTCCACCCACAAGTAGAGCTTTTTGAGATCCATTCATAATGCTTTAATTATTCTCCTAAAAAGTGTGCACAAGGATCGCTTTCTTCCTCAGGTGCTCAAGCCAGGTGGTAAAGCATGCATATCAGTTTGGGCACTAGACCAAAGCAACTCAGAGTACTCAAAGATGAGGAGACATAAGGTTAGGAATCTAATGCAGTTTTTATCAGTGACTGACTTTTTTTCGACAATAAGCTTGGCTGAAGGCGAAAGTGTGATAGGCACTACACTAGTTACCATTAGATATCTTGATCAACGCTAATTCTTCAATAACAAGAGCACTTAAAGATTTGAAGACTTCAGAAACTCGTCGAAGAGTTCGCCCTATATGTTTAAGTGTATTTAAGTGTTTTTATAGTAGGATATCTGAAGTACATTGTTCAATTAAATCAAAAAACTACTAAAGCACTAAAACATTTTAAAGCAAACGGGGCAAGACTTGAAAACGCGACTTGCCCCCTCCAGAAGATCAATGCAGAATTAATTGTTGTGAAGAATTTTTCGTAGTAGAATAGATAAATCTGTCTTGTTGGTAAAGATAAATGTATTATAACGGTTTATATTCCGGTTGACATAGTTCAGTATGAATTTAAAATATGTGTTAGAAGACAATTGTTTTCGGCTACGAATAAGTAGTATATGTCTCGCTTAGTCAAAAATGTTTTGAATAATTTTATTCAGCAAATTTCATGTTCCCTTAAAATATAATAAGTGATGCAAACATTCTACTGGACACTGGTGATTTTGGAATTTACGTGAGTGTTGTAGGCTTCGGTGCAATCTGAAATGATGTATCCAGCAACTGAACATACGAGTACCTTTTACTTATATTTTACTAGGACTCCTCACTGGGTGAGAAGCAATCACGTCGACTGAAAATCCATGATGGAAGAGAATTCATCCAGCAGGACTTGCTTGTTCCATGGCAGATAGAACATAAAGACGAAACATATTTCAGGTGATTTAAATTTTCCACTGTTATACCCTATATTAATATTATACTCTAGGTATTACCATGTATTTGCGGAAGGAGAAATAGAGGAACTTATTCGATCTGTAGGAGGCTGCCAAATAGACAGTGTTGAAAAAGAACAGGGTAACTACATAGCCGTAATAACAAAGCTTCAAAAGGACTGAGTTATTACAATTACTACTGTTACTGTTATTATCACTGTTATAATAATTGTTGTTGTTATTATTTTTATGATAAAAACATAGCCCTGTTTCCTGTCCTTCTTCATAAACTCAAAAAGAGACATGTCCTTGTACATGTAGAAGTTGCAAGAACTCATAGAGTTTCATTCTTTAGTGGGGACACATAATTTGTTTGTGACTGAATATATCCGACCATATTGTTGAATCGTTTTCGACACTCGGTGATTCCGAAGAATGATGCTAGTTCTTTGATTGGTGGTCCTTTCGAACTGTCGATTAGAGAAACTCGAATCAACGTGAGAAATTTGGCATACGGCCATCCGTGTTGTTCCGCCGCTTTTTTCAGTAAGTCGATATCAAGTGAATCTAAATAATTAGTGAAATAAATGCTAGTCAGGGCGGTACTCTAGAGGGTCTTGCATATTCAAGTTGCTTTACTTACCGCATTCCTGAAGGTATGTCAGAGCATCTAATGCTATCTGACTATCAAAAATGGACAGAAGGCGGTCAGCCGTCACTGGTTTACTCAAGAACCACCGGAAATCTCCTCTTGTCAGTGATGATAGGAAGGCGAAATTCTCCTCATTTGTTTTTAGGAAAGCAACGACCTACAACTTTGTTCTTTACACCAGCTAGCAATCTTTAGCAAAACGGAAAGGATTCAGTTATAGTAGAAGTGGTAGAAAAGAAAGTATGGTTCCAACCTTCCTCAAGTATTCGTCATTTGGTATTTCGACAGATGGCAAATCACACTTTATGAGCATTTTTATGGCAGGTAAAATTTGGTTGTCAACATCGGCCATTTGGAAAGCCATTCTTCCATATCTGATCAAACACTCATCGTCGAGCTGAAGATGTGCACAATTATATACAACTCAACAGCGGGATTACCGTTATTTGGATTGTGACCTGTAAATTCCGTTTGCCAATTCTTCCTTCATCAAAATTAGCTATCATTTCGTCGACAGTGTAGAGATGTGTTGCATCGAAATCACGTATGCCACTGCCATTCCGTATCTGAACCCTTCTAGAAGTAAATGAACTGAGAGTAGTCTTTACTCTGTAATACTATCTGCACTAACCTACTAGTTAACCGCCTTACTCACCAGTAGGTTTAGAACAGCGTTCGGTAGTGCGCCCAAGTATTGTTCGTAAAAGTCTACAAAGTCATTTTTGTCTCTCTTTGACAGCTTCTTCTTCCCATCTTTCGTTATTAAAGGCAAATGGAGCCATCGTGGGTGTGACCACCCAAAAGCTCTGGATTCGCAAATTCTCATTTAGTCTAAGGTCATTTATCACTTATGGTGATATTGCATAATATTTTGGATACGGAAAAAGTCGACGTCATTAAAGCATATATGATAGACGAGTAACCTACTTGTATAAAATAACATGCTTTCCAGTACTGCTAAGCCATTCCATACCACGAATAACGTGGGAGATCCGCATGAATTGATCGTCTACTACGTTAGCAAGGTGATATGTTGGGAAGCCGTCCGATTTGAGTAGTACCATGTCACTTTCATCAATGTATTGCTCAATAACACCATAGGTATCGTCCTAAAATGACACAAAACAACCATTTATGAACATGCTCGGAGGAAATAACAGTTTTCGAATCTGGAAATATGGTGCTCTCCCGCGACACATTAGTGTTCCCATAAAGTGTAGGAAATTCCAATATGGGACGAAGGAAGTTAACTCTGGAAACCCTAGCAACTCACTGTCATCATCCCGCCATGTTAACTGCACCAATTTAGAAGTATGCGACCAATTTTCAAAGGAATTGCTGAAAAGTGATGCTTGTGAAGGGGAAGTAGTACGATATTCGTGTTGACTGAAGAAAGTATCATGCTTGAAGAACTACGACGAAGGAGGCGAGTAATGGGAATACGTAGGCTACCGCGAGTTATTGTGAAAGTAAGGTATGCATTCAATCACCTCCAACAATGCCTAATCAAGTCAAAGACATGGCGCATCCCTCAGGGATTGACCAACACCAAGAGCTTTATCCTTCACCCTTTATGTATAACCACTTGATAGCTAATCGAGAGTAGATGAAAGTAGAGGAGTGAAACCAGAAACGCCATTCTCTGCACTTAAAAATTTACAAAAGAAACTGTCGGACAACTTTGCTGGCCTGTAATTTGGCCAGGAATTGAATGCTATCTCGTTTTAATCGCCATGGCGCACCACGTTTATTGTAAAGAATGTGGGGATATAAAAACACCGAAGAAGACAACGTAAGGTGCTATAATACACTAGATGCTGACACCAATGTGTTTGCGTGACTGACCGTGTAACACGTAAAAGCATTCATACCCATAGAACTATGGAACGAGTCTCATCTGCAATTCTGTTATGTCCACAATTTCAACTCCTCTAGTTATCAAAAATTACTGCTTATTGTCGAAAAACTAGCAGTTCCATAAAGGCTGAAAACTAGAAGTCGTCCTATGCGGCGGAAAACAGAACTAAGAGTCATCACCAGTAGCTTAAAAACAAAAAACGGAAAGGGCAAAATTATAGAGATACTTACCGTGAATGAAACATTTTGTTTGTCTAGTTTTAGACGGACGACAAACGGCTCCCCAGATGCAGCACGTTTTTGCGAATCCATACTATCTATGGAGCGGCACTTCATGTCATATTTTGGTATTTGATTGCGCCTTACGGCGTCCTTACGAAGTAGAGATAAACGCTAAAACGGAAGAAAGAGTTTGAGGGAAAAATCATGGAACGTCAAAATACTCACATCCTCTGAGCAGAAACACCGATAAGCAAGACCAGAATCGATTAGCCGATCGACAGCATCCTTATATAATGTAAGACGTTCAGACTGCCTGTAGGGACCATGTGGTCCTAATTTGCCAGGACCTTCATCGTAATGTAAGCCGTAGTGTCTCAGAATTCGCTCAATCTACGAAATGAGCAGCACTTTTTCAAAGATTTCTAATGCACCAGTGATTAATCCTACTAATTCTTACTAGTGTGAAAAATAGTGCTGTGAAAAAACTTACATTTTCTTCGCTCCCAGGGACCAGTCGCGCCTTGTCCGTATCCTCTATGCGCAGCACAAATTGACCTTTGTGATGACGAGCGAACAGGAAGTTATACAAAGCTGTTCTGAGACTTCCGAGGTGGAGTTGACCCGTTGGACTTGGTGCAAAGCGCACTCGAACCTTGAGAAAAGCCAATAGACAGTGACGAAATACTATTGCCTGGTTCCAGATCATTTGGGACTCAAGCATTCTCTATAGTGGCTGTACAAAGATACGCCACTGTTCTAAAATTTAATCAAGCCGAGAAGGAACGCTAGCGCTTCTTAGGCACATTCATACTACCATTTCGCGTCCGGAAATCTCGCCATGGAACCACTGTGTTTTGATGTGTGCTATGGAGTCGTTTAGTCACCCTTATGGTTCGCTTATCCGGCCCTAACAATTTTTGTTTACCTTTTCGACTGACCACGTGAGTAAAACAAACCTTTCTATATAGATGCTTAACAAAGTCTTTAGACTACATGGTAGGCGCATCACCAGACTTTCGCCGAGTCATCTTGGATTCAGCACACATCATCAACTTGGTGGGTTGCGTGTAGCGCAGTGGACGAAGGTGCCTGCAACACACATGGGATCGATCGCCTCCCGGCCTACCAAGCCTTCCATCCCTCCGGAGTCGGCAAATTGGTAACAAACTTGTCTGGTAGGATAGTAACCCAAGCTGGATACATCGGTAGGCCACCATTAGTCATTGTACAAGCTAGATTTGCATTCAGTTATCTCTAACGATGCTTATTGAAGTCGAATACGTGGCGCATCCCTGATAGATCGATCAACACCGAGAGCTCTATCCTTATCCTTTTATCCATAAACTTGGTCAATTACACTTATTATACCGTAAAAAGGCATTATATGATCACAGAACGCTACCAAAGAATAGTATGTTGGTGATTCCTGAAAACCTACTCACGCTTTCAACAAGATATTCAACGGTTTAATTCAACCTCTCATTTTCTATATCTCCTCCACTTTTAGAAGAGAAATTCGGAAAAATTTAAAAAAACGGATCCCACGAAGCACCTGATCAATAGAACTCAACCATCTCCATGAGAACAAGTGCACCATCTAAGTGACATGCAAACTCAGGTCCTGAAAATCTGCATAGTCTCGTAGTTGGTTTAAAATGAAAAAAAAAACCCAGTAGCGTAAACTTGAACGCATCCACATAAACTCTCAAGAAACAAAGTGTCAAAATTGACAGTAAACGTTTATAAGTACAATAGCGCAATCCACGAAATATAGAAGCAACTCAGCGGGAACCGGTCCCGCACTGTGTTTGTCGCGCTACGGTGCGGCTCCTCTGCTCCGCGGTCGTCCGTGGAAACCTTCAAGCAGAGTCATCACTTTCCGGGTTTCTTTCGTATTTCATCACTTCCTGAGATTAGGATATACTTGGCCACTTTTTGGTGCAGTTTTTGTTCCATACAGATCCCGCTGATGTGTTCTATCCCATATCAAGTTTCTTGCGTGTGTCGTATAGGTCGTATAAGCATAGGTTTCCTCTTCATTTGTTTTCGTGAAGAAAGTTATTGCATAGGAAACATGACGGCTATGTTTTCCACTTCCCGTTCCTCTCAAGGAGGTTCCTCATCAGGGAATCTTGTCGAGTTCAAGGTAGTGTTTTTCTGTTTTCTTTCTACAGATCAAATATAAGCAGCAAAGGTAGGTTAGATACTAACTTAGATACTTGGATGGGTCGTCCTCACTGGTTATGCGGGCACCAGCGTAATTTTTTTGCTGGTTAAGCTACTGTGGTTTCCTGGATTCCCAAGGATGGCCAGGGCAAAGTCTGCCCCAGGTCATCACCACCGCAGGTAGTTGTGGATAGGAGTGAGATTTACCATCATGTGACTAGTTTGATACTAGAGCGGTCGTGGATCCTGATATTCGTTTGCCCTTAGCTAGGCTTCCCAATGGAAACTCCGAACTTGCTCTCAGCTTAGGAGACCCTGTTCGTGAGGTAAATCCCGCCACTATACATCGCAGCCCGACACCCAGGAACGCCCAGTTACGATAACGCGGTAAACCCTTGAGAGGGTTTGAATGCTGTAGAAACTCTATAATGTTATTTGATTTTCATGAAATTCAAAAGAAGAGGAAAAAGAATCCCATGGGAAATGTGCTGACGAACATTGATTCACAACTTTTTTTGTTTTAAAGCAAAATTATCCAGTCTTTGTATTAAATGCTTTTCTTTGCAGGCTGGACGTTCGTTTCTACAGGCAGCAAGTGCAGCAAATAAGAAGAAGGTTGTTGTTTATTTTTGGAAGCACTCTGGAAGTCATCTAAAGTGCATCTTATCAATTAGATCCATTGTCGAAACGATGTTTTATTCTAAGCGAAATGGAATAGACATGATATGTCTATTCCTTCCAAAAAGATGTGGAAAAAAGAAAACTTTCCTGTTTTTATTCATATTATACGTTTATCATGGTTTACCATATAACCAATGAAACTGGAGTGGAATTACTCCGTGCTAATTTATTTGATAAGGGGCGCGTGTGAATCAGTGGTCAGAGGCGCCTTGCAATACGCATGGGGTGGATCCCGGCGCCCAAGGGTCACCAAACTTTCCGGCTCTTCGCGGTCAGCGAATTGGTACCAGAATTATCTGGGAGGATAGCAGCACTAGCTCGATGCATCGGCAAGCCACCGCGAGTCATTGTAAAGCGCAAATATGCATTCATTCACCTCCAGACGATGCTTAATGAAGTCGAATGGATGGCGCATCCCTCAGAGATTAATCGACGCTGAGAGGTTTATCCCTCTTAATTTATGTGATATACTAAAAGTTGGTTTTGCTGAACTGAACAAAATTGAAAGATGGAGGGCTGGTCTTATGCGAAGTCGCAGAGACAAGCTTCCCATTTTAAAGCTTGGTGGCAAATCCCGATGGTTCTGCTTTGGTACACCATCTGTGATTCCACGTAGTGTTTAGTCTAGTTGCATGACAATTGAATTGATAGGAGTTGTGCATAAGCGAGAGTTGGGATACAATCTTCTGTAGTAACTCCCAAGTCCGACTTTCTATTAACCTCGGCATTGGTTGAGTAATTCTTTCTACTTCTGTTCAGCAAACACACATATACTCGCACCTCTTGTCTGTCCATTCGCTTCATTTCCTGATATTCTAGCCTTAACTTTGCTGAGAAAATAACTACATCCTGGAATCGGTCGTTGAAGATCGGTTCCGAACTTTTGTAAGAATACTATTACAGTCTATCTTTGGATAGTAACGAGGTTAACCCGAATGTCCTCTAAATCTCTTCCTGTAATTTAAGGTTGTCGCCGACAAAACTAAGGGTCTCGTATTCATCAAGCAGTCAAATGACCAACTAATGCACTTTTGTTGGAAAAACAGAGAAACTGGAGCGATCGTCGATGTGAGTTCCCACTATTTTCCTCTCGCTCTTCCTATTTCATTCTCTTGTAGAACTACCGTATTCATTGAACTTGAAATATTTGTGTCATTTAAGGACCTCATAATATTCCCTGGTGACACTGAGTTCAAGGAAGTTAAGGGATGCCCCGATGGAAAGGTCTATATGCTGAAGTTCAAAACATCCGATGAACGTCGTCTATTTTGGATACAAGATGGAAATGCGGATGCAGATAGAGATCTTTGCAAAAAGGTGTGTATTAGCGCACAACGCGCCACATGAATTGATTTCCTTGCATTTAGTGCGAAAGTATTGGCCAATTTCAAGTTTCAAGCAATATCTGTCAACTCATCATGAGCTGCTTTAAAATAAGGATAGATAGTTGTCTACAGATCTTTGGCAACTAGATAGGCTTTCTGGTTCCCGAGAAATGTGTTTCTTCAATTTTTTCATAACGGCTTATATTTCGACAACAAAAACATTTAAATAAGCGGGATTTGCTCTAGGAGAACATTGGTGATATTTCACAATATACGTTTTATGTTTGCAGCCAGTATTTTTGGAAAACAATTTTCAAAAATATTTGAATGTTTTTTAATCGGGAATTTTTGCGTTGAAAGCCTTAGAATTTTATGTTTTGTCTGCTCTTTCCACTCTTTTAGTGCTTTAAAGGCTCCAATTTTTTCACATTTTCTTAAAGTTGTCATTTATTTCGAAGAATTGCAAAATTAAAACAATCGTGGTGTACAAGAGTTATAAGTGCGATTAGGACCACAAAGCAAAGTTCACCCCATAAACCCGTGAAGTTCTCAATTCCTCAAATACCACAGGTCGAGAAATGGTCAGTTGTCGAAAGAACAGCGTCAAATATATGTTATGGTGTCCAAGCACACTCAATTCACTGAGATGCTCTAGTATTTTCATTCTCCTCTAGTATTTTCGTTCTCCATAACACACTTAAGGCAGTGTTTATTTCGATAACTGTTGTATTTAAAAGCTATATAAATGTTTTATAAACTCCTGCTCTAATCTTGAAATCGTTTAAGACTTAAGTTTCTGGAAAATTGGAGAAGGTTTGATTTTTCGAACTCTTTAACGCATGTTCGATAGTGTGAACATTAGCGATGAATTTGGAGAATGTTATGTCCTCAGCTTTTTTCCTGTTTTAACCACGGGCCCCTACGAAAAAATGTGCTCCAGAAAGTGATTTCATCGTAGGTCGCTCTTCAGAATTTGGGAATATCTCCTGGCCATTCTGGTTCTTATCTCAGGTTCTGGATTTTGCTCAAAGTTGAGATACTTTTGTTGGAAATAGCAGTTATTTTGGAAGTATGTAAATTGGAATTAGTGCGCGTCACGAAATCGCGCAATTTCATTTTAACCAAACTTTGATTTAAATCTATCATATTTCTATGTTTTGACCATGTTCCTGTAGTCAATTTCAAATCTTGGGTTTAGTAGCTCTATGTCCTATCGATTTTAAGGTGAACGACACTCTTAATAAGCCACCGACCACTCGTGCTTCTGCAAGAGGAGGTTCTTCAGAGCGTACGACTGGAGCTTTGTCAACAGCAAACCTAGCTGGCCTAGGCGGTAATGAGGTGAAAATTCTTCCATGTTGCTTCCTGTCTTGGCAATACCATTTCCATTGAGTTCTTATATTTAATGGATTAAAATCACTGACAGGAGTTGGGGGCTTTGGGAGGGCTGGACCAACAGCAGCTGATGCAACTACTTCAGTTTATGAACCAGGTTGATTTGATAACATTGGATCGGTTTGAATCCTATATCTTCCAATATATTTTCCAAGGGAAATTCTGATTCTCCAACACTTGTACCACAAGTTCCATCTGGTACTTCTTCCGAACGAGCAGTGTCAGGAAGCACCCCAAAAGGTAGTTGGTCTATTTTCTTGTTGTTTAAATAACATTTCGCAAGTATGTGAGCATTAAGTCTCTGCTTCGGAACTCACACAGCTTCAAACATTGCTCGGAGGTCTCAGAGCACCTGGTGCAGATTCATCTCAAGGAAGTGCTGATCGTCAAGTTGCTGTCGAATTGAGTGACGTTATTGCTGGTGGACAAGTTGTTGAGGCTGCGATGAGCAATGCTGGTTAGGATATCTTATTTTGGCCTTTAATGCATTCGTGAAGATGCGCAATTTTTTAAGTGTGGCCCATACTGTCGGTTATGACGTAACCGCTCCAAAAAACTGGGCATTAAAAATTGATATCGGCAAGTCCTTGTGTTACTCTATCGTTAGAAAACGTAAGGAGCCTCTACGATCCTCATGCGTTTGTGTTTGTGCAAAAAGTGACGTTTTGTGCTCTTATCCATAACATTTTCATCAGCGCGGAATCATTTGTACCTTACTCAACAGTAAACGTCTGTGTTGAGATCGGCGAACTCTTCCATAGAAGTTTTCGTTAATTATTTGGCTTTTCTCAGATCTCTCGGTACAGTATCTATGGTAGAGAAGATTTAAGTGAACTCAAAACAAAGAAAAAACTCCAAACTAAGCAAAAGGAAGAAAATGAGTCATATGTTTTGTATCGTCGCGATTGCGCTAACTTATCTCATGTTTTGCTAGGTCGTTCCGAAATCAATACACGATGTCTAACTTAATTTTTCTAGCATAGAGACATTTATACACTTTCGCTCTTAATGCAGTACAATTAAAAAATACAGTTACGAAATACAGAATCACAATATACATCGTATACTTGGCAAATTTCCCGGATTGGGAAATTTGGTGTCAAATCAGCAAGTCATCGAATTTACTTTTACGATTCCATACTAGGTATTATGCAGAGCCAGCGGTTCTCAGTGTTAATGAGATGCGGAGACCAAGGGGATGTAAAGAGTGGACGGTGAGACGTTTCTTAAAATTACGTAATGGCGAATGTCACGTTAAAGATAAAGGCAGTAAATTACGACAACAATGATGAATAGAAGGCTCCGGTAGAAGGAAAAAGAGGCGTAACTGTTGGAGAATATGGAGAAGAACTCGTTGTAAGCATATCAGTTGTTTCGGATATTAGAGAAGACTTAAGAGTCGAGAAATCTGGACAAATAGATGCCGTACCACTTGGCTATACGTCGCGCTAGCAACGCGCAAGTACATTTCTTATAACTAACGCTGCGAAGGTTGAAAGAGCTGGTGCACGACAGTCTAGCTTATCCACCACATTCGCCAAGGCCCTCATCTACCTCAGTAACCTTCTGTGCGAAAAATAGTTTAGAAATGTCGTTGAGGCCAAAATCGTCTTCAGCGACTTAGTCGCTTTCGGAATCCCTCCAGGGATTTTTGGTACTTTTTACTTGTAAACGTCCGAAGATTCCAATGGTTTCATTTCGATTAACAATGTTTGTTTTGAGCTGATATATGCCACTTTAAAGATACACTTGCGAAATCATGCATTAATTTCCGAGCAATTGAATAATTCAAGAGGTTTATTTCCTTCATTTAATCAATTTCCCTTTTCTTCAAGATCGCCTTCTTGATCATATGCCTGTTGAAGACAAAACGTCTGCTGATACAAAGAAAGCTTTAGAGGACACTGTTCGCTCTCCACATTATAGACAGGTGAGCTTCCCAATAGGTTTTTTTATCAGGGGTTTTTAAAGGGCAATTGAACTTTGTTTTCATTTTTCTTTTCATTTCGTCTGGAATCTCTATTACTGGTCTTCTGAAAAGGAATAACAATGTGGGGACTTTAAGTTGATTTTTTAAAGTCGTCTTTGTGGAGGTTTTTCACTCGGCTTAGTTATGGCAGTGATGGTCCTATAATATTGCCAACTTGTAATTTTGAGCTCACAAAAAAGATACGGTGTTCGATCCGCTAGAGTGCATTGCAGTGGTTGCTGCTGCCTATGATACATACTTTGTTTTTATATGACGGAAAAATGGCGGAAATACCTCTATATGAATAGTGCCAATTCGCATGCCTCATAACTGCACCACTTATTATCTTAGAAAAAAAACTGGTAACCACTACTTGGATACTTGGACGGTCCGTCTTCACGAACTGTGCGGACCCCAGCACATATGCCATTCGTTCCTTTCTCTTGCAATCGCAGTCCATGGTGGTCTTGTTCGAGCATGGCAGCGCTTGTGAGTCTCATACCATATTCTATATTCATACCATAGTCTCATAGTCTCATACCATAGTCTCATATCTATAAAACAAGTGCAGCTGCGGGAACAGCTGATTAACTTTGTTTACGAACACGTCCGCCCAGCGTGTAGGGGTCGTCCAAGAGGACGCTTGTATTCTCTTGGAGTCCACTCTACTGGCGATCTTTGAGTAGTGTGAAGCATTCTTGACGTAGTTGAACTATCAACCCACGTCTCTGCAGCATAACAGAGCGCTGGGAGGACCGTAGAATCAAAGGGATGAGTGCGGGTTTTCGGGTCCTTCAGTTGGTCGGTGGCTTCCTTGAGAGGCCCGAATGAGGCCCAAACTGCTCTCCTTCTTCTATCTAGTTCCTCCTTCATGCTGTTTTCCATGTTCATTGATCGCCCAAGGTAAACGTACGAGGTGGTCTCTGCAATGAGGAAGCCATCCAATTCAATTTTTTCGCCTTCGCACCATGGGTTTTTCATGAACTGGGTCTTCTTCCGATTTATGCGAAGTCCGATCTTTTTCCCCGCTTCGTTGAGCTCGTTGATCATTACCTCTGCTTCGCTAGTACTTCTTGAGAATAAGACAATGTCGTCGGCAAAATTAAGGTTTGATAGGAATATTCCATCAATACGTATGCCTTTCTCATCCCAATCGAATGACTTCATTATCCACTGCAGTGCGGCACTGAACAGCTTTGGCGGTATTGTGTCACCCTGTCGAACCTCTTTTCCTATGGGTATTGTAACAGGTCGATGGAAAAGCTGTGTTTTCGTAGTGCAGTTCCAATAACAGTTGGACAGAGTCTTTATGTAGGACGCGTCCACTCCTTGGTCGAGGAGCGCTGATAGGATTGCATTTTTTCGACACTGTCAAACGCTTTCTTATAGTCGACAAAGATTAGGACTAGAGGCAAATGGCATTCCCGACAAACTTCGATGACCGTGGACACGGTTTGGTTGTGGTCCTTTTCGAAATCCTGCTTTCTCGACTGGTTGCGCCTCATCCAATGTCCTTGATATGCGCGAGAGGATAATCTTCGTGAAGAGCCTGTAGAGTACACCTAACAAGCATATGGGACGATAGTTACGAAGATCCCTTCGGTCTCCTTTTTTGGGCCGGATGACCGTGCGTGAGGTCCTTCACTGGTCTGGGATTTTTTCCTTTTGAAGGTAGGCTGTTATTTGCGAGAAGTACATGTAAATCGTAGTTTCCAGCTCTAAGCAAGTCGGCGGTAGTACTATCGGTTCCTAGAGTTGTGCCTCTTTTCATGCTTTCTATCGCAACTCGAACCTCTGACGGAAGAATTCCAGGTGGTTTTTCTCTAGGGGGTATATTAGGACCCGGGACGGTGATTGTGGAACGGAAAAGGTTGGTGTAGAACGTTTCCGCTATTAATTCCATATCATGGCGGGAAGTTTTGACGATCCCATCTTCGTTCATCAGCGCTTACAGCGGAACATTATGCTCACACATCTCCTGACGACATTTTTCCAGACTGCTTCATTTCTCTGTTGCTTCCAGTAGTTTCTTCTGCATGTACCGATGTAGACCTTTCTGCAAAGCTCTTCTGCATCTGGCATTTATTACTAGCCATGTTAAACGCTTTGCAGTAGAATCAAGCTTCGGTTTCCTTCTCTTTTCGAGCAACTCTTTAGTAGTGATGGAGATCCGATCCGATCTTCTTGTTTGAGGAACTGAGGCGAATTCAGCACAGCTTTCCAGTCCTTCGACAAGCAAGTCTTCTTTAATCTGCATTTGCCAGCTACTTTGGACAGGACTTCGTTCAGAATGTGCTCGTAGTGTACAGCTAAACTTTTTCCTCGTGGTCGATGAAGAAAGTTCTTTTCCAGCTTGCGGCTGAATCGAATGTTCGCGCGAAGAAGGCGGTGATGGGAACTAGTACAGAATGACGGGACTACCGAAGTAAGCACCATCTTCTATTTGTCAGGATATGGTCGATCCCCACATGAGTTATGCCGTTGAGAGACTCCTATGTCCAGCGGCGGCTTTCTTTCTTCTTGAAGAACGAGTTCCCATGGAAAAGTCGTGCTGCTGTGACAGGAGTCCTGCGAGAAGGTTCCCATTCTCATTTCTTTCTTCTAATCCAAAATTTCCGATCCTGTATTCGCTCTCGTTGACCTTTCGTATTCTGGCGTTAGAGTCTCCAACAACAAATTTATGATGTGCTTTATCATTGCGGATGACTTCCTCCAACTGATAGTAAAACGCATTTGATTCGTACTCATCAGCTACGTCGGTCGGTGAGTAGCAGTTGATGACAGTGATCTTCATATGATGCGACAGTTGAAGACGGAGGACGGCTATGCGAGGGGAAAGGATCACGTATGAGTCGACGAGATGCACAATGGACGGGTGGACGACAAATTTTACGCCACCGACATTTCGTGATGGGACCTTTTCGCCACGGATCAGAAGGGTCCCGTTGTTTAGTTGGTGTATGTCGGTCTCCTTGATTTTTGTTTCTTGTAACGCGATCACATGAAATTTAATTCGATCTGCGGCTAGAAGAAGGGCGTGAAGATCGGTGTCTGTGTAGAGTGTTCTGGCATTATACGTGCATAGTAAGAAACAATCTCCATGGAGTGTCGTGCGTGTGTTCGTCAGATCCGGTTCCAGTGACGTAACCCGTAACCCGAGATTTTCTGGCCTCTCACCGGTCGTCTGTCCGCCTGATGTTATAGGCGGGAGCACCCATTGTGCGGGGTACTGAGGCTGGCCTATTGCTGGTCGTACAACTCGGTCCTTCCTGGAGTCCTGACGCAACCTTGCAAGAGTGTATCCAGGTCCTCACCACGATGTGGATCAGAGGGAGGTGTGTTTTCGGCGACGAATCCTTCACTCGGTCTTTCTACTCAAACTTGGGTAATTAATTAAACCAGAGATTAGTAACTACTAGTGCTAATAACAATGTCTGAATTTTATTCACTGCCTGTGATTCAGATATATGAGCAAAACTTTGAATATCGTCTGGCCTTCGAACCCTTGATTACTCTCACCGGGGGATCATGTGTTATCTATTATACCAACCGAGGCCCTAGCTTTGCCTTTCTCTCAGCCAGTTTTTTACTCTAACGGTTTTGTCAGCTATCACCTATAAACGAGAATGATCTGGGGAGCACGAATCGGTATTGGACCCGGTTGTCCTGAGGCTGGAGTCGGAATCACAATCTTTAATTTTTTAAACCCTGCAAAGTATAATTATGGATTCGATGCCCACCTAAGGTATTGAGTTTTTAATTGGAAAGATCAATGTTTCAGTGATCATGATGGGCGTAAATTTGGTGTTCTAGGCTTTATATTGTTAAAGTTTGTTACTTGTTGGTAAAATAATAGGATGCTGTGTCAGTAGATCACCATCGTATAAAGGAAAACTCCCATATCGACTACGAAGAAGTCAACAATACATGACACGTCTTTGCTGGAGAATTAAATACTATAGGCTACATCGTTGACAGACACGGCGACAGGATTTATTATAGTGCATTGTAATGCTAGTAATAAGTAAGACAGGCATCGGTAGATAAGAAGCTCTGCACTGCTTGCCAACTTTTGAAGTTTCTGTAAAGAAAAAAGTCTACTGGAATCACAAAAACGTCCGTTCGTAGTTGCCTCCAAAAATAACGCCCGCGTAGAGAGGTACGACGTACTACATAGTTGGCGAGTATGGTGTTTAGGAACACAGGAATCGCCGGGTGACATATGTTGGGAAAGGGTTTGGTATTACAAGCCGAATTATTTCCTTTTGTGTTCTACTATAAAGGCATGATATCTTTGCGCTATTGAATATGGACCATATTGAGTCGCTTATCCCTTCCATAGTTATAATGGTATATGTTCAACTTTTTTAGGCAGCTAATTCATTTGGTCATGCACTGTCCACTGGACAGATGGCTCCGGTTCTCGAACGCTTCGGGATTAGTGAGGGAGCTGTGCAAGCTGCTGCTACAGGAAGTGAGTTGTAATATATTTATGTGTAAATATTCTCTTCCTTAGCTAATAATTCACTTGTCTTCAGATTTACTAGAATTTGCAAGAAAACTGACTGAATCAGAACGTGGATTAGAAGCCGCCCAGGCGGCGTCGGCAGCAGGTACAACTGCCAATACTGAAACTGCTGTTGAAGTGGAAAGTGATGAGCAAACAAAGGAGCCGGAGGCAAAGCGTGGAAAAACCGACGAGGACGAAATGGATTTGGACTAGAGGCCGTTGTTCAGAGAATTCCTTTGTATTTGTTAACCTGTTTGATTTCTTCAATATAAAGTTGATCAAAAGTTACTCGCAACTGTAGCAGACTACGATTCCCAACCGCTCTGTTTCAAAACTGATTTTAGGCCTGTATTTCGTAAATGGGGAAATTTCTTTTTTTTGGAATCTTTAACTTTTAATTATGAAGGTATTCGATGTAGGGAGTCCTTACTCGTTGTGTGTGCTCCAGCATTTATATAATTCGTTTCCTCTTCATGTAACCATGTATTAGTACTAACTAAAACGAACCTACATATACCAATATTGAACTGATGAAGTGCATCTTCATTACAAGTGATATTTTCTTCCAATGGAAGGACAGATAACATGGAAATGTGGGAGGTACTTAGAGTGTTATCTTGTCAATTGTGCCATCTGTTCCCGTTATCATTGACTTTGAAAAATGTGCTGTCTCTAACGACGTCCAATATTCGTTTTATAGGAGACCCTTTATATCTGGAGGCAAGCAGAATTTGAAATGTAGTAGTTCAAGTCGTAAATAAATTGTGTTTGCCCACGTCCACATACTCCTTCGTATTTCCCGTCCTTGGTTTCGCGAAATATTTGAAGCTTTGTGATGATTTGTTATCGTCATGCTTCCTTCCAACATGATTGGTTCATGTGTCGTAAACGATGTAAATGAAATCGTTCATAAATTGAACTGTAGCTCAGGTAAGTAGTAATGGCGTGTGATTGTTTCCTAGCCAGTGTTGGTTATTGCGCGCTGGGGCTAATTGTGTATAAGATCGTTGCTGCGCTGTACAAAATTCTTTGGCCATATGTTATCGCATCTTCGGCGGACCTACACTCAAAGGCTGGAGCCAAATGGGCAGGTATGACTTTTCGAATGACGTACTGTGTATGCGAAATTAGGTCCGTCTTGTCTGCCGTGCGACTTCCAAACATGACACGGCTAAACAGATTTTGAAACGAAACGTTTGCTAGAACTAGTGACAAACAAACTGTATCCCATAGATTTTTAGGCGTGCAAATGAATGCATGAGGTATTGTGTGTATAACTCACTGAGATCGTACTTAGAAAGATAGAAACCTCTCGAAAAGCGAAAAGTGCATGGATACAGCAATCGTAGAAGACATACAAGGTGATCAGCCTATTCATAATTTTCCTCCGTATCTGCAGTGGTAACCGGAGCCACAGATGGGATAGGGAAGGCGTATGCATACGAAATGGCTCGAAAAGGTTTCAATGTTTATCTCGTGTCTCGAACGCAGTCGAAACTCAGTGAGGTACAGAAGGATATACTGGAAAAATATAGCAAGGTTACTATTGAAATTATTTTCTAGTTTTATTTCTACTCTTGAGATTTAATCGTATGTATTTTATAGATTTTCAAGTGAAACATTGATTGGTCACATTTTTTAAATTAAGGTAGAAGTGAAGACATTTGCTTTCGACTTTTGCGTTGGATCTATAGAAGCGTATGCGCCACTTCTGAAAGCTCTTAATGAAGTCGAAGTCGGCATTCTAGTAAATAACGTTGGCATGAGTTACGAATACCCTGAGGTACATGGAATGGAAAACGTAACAGTTTTGACCAGGTCATCTTCCTTTTTTCTTTAGGCATTTCATAGCATCGAGGGAGGACTAGAGCGTATTGCGAATATCACTGTTATAAATACGCTACCGACCACTGTTGTGGGTTGTCTGTCTTACGCTCGTACTGTCACTTATGTGTATAGTACAATTTTCATAACCTTCCAATGTGGAAAACTCCTTTATGTTTAAATTCTAAAGTTCAAAGTGCCCAAACGTTTCAGCTTTGCGCCTCATTGATCAAACAAATGCTTCCACGAAAGAAAGGCGTCATTATCAATGTCTCCTCCAGTGCAGGTGAAAATCAAATGGCATTCTGGGCTGTCTATTCTGCTAGCAAGGCAGGCTGATCTTCTTTTTATTTATTAGCATATTTCGAGATCCGTAACTTTACAAGTAGTAATTACAGTATGATTTTTTTTTAGAAATACGTGACATGGTTAACGAAGATTTTGCGCATGGAGTATGTTGATTCGGGCTTAACAATTCAAACAGTTTGCCCGATGATGGTAGCCACAAATATGAGTAAGGTGTGTATTCCCTTACACTTTGAGCGGTTGAAAGTGTTAATGCTGAAAATTCCAACTCGTATTTTTATGTCGACGCCTGTTTCAGATAGGTTAATAAAGAACAACTATTAAGGTTCGTAAAACATCATTCTTCATACCTAGTGCGGAACAGTTTGTAGCATCCGCTGTGAAGAGTATTGGTCTAGTTACGGAAACCACAGGATTTCTAGCACATCAAATTCAGGTCGAGAAAGTTATCATATTTTTCGAACTCCTAATCATTTTGTTAATATAGCATAGATCCTGTTTTCAGATAGAAGTGATCAAGTTGATACCAACTCCTTTACGTAACATTCTGATCACCAAATACACTTCGGCGCTTCGCAGGGCCGCACTTAAAAAGAAGGCCAAATCTCAGTGACATTGTGATTCTGTTTCTTCATCGATCTGTTGGATCAGTTGTCATATGGTTTATTTCAAGCTATCTGAAAGTGGCGTTAGGTTATGTGGAAATTTGGTTCTGAAGATGGGTTTTTAACAGTATCAAAATGTGTTATGATGACAGTGTTAATAGAATAAATTAGATAAGTTAGATAGTATTCGCAGAGTGCAAGATCTTCTGATTTGTGTTTGTTGAGAAGGTGGAAAAGGAAAATGCAATGAACTAGAATGGTTTTCAATATAACTGGAATGCGAAATCACGACTTTGGTGTTAGGAAGCATCGTAAAAAAGCGGAGGTTTGAATGTGTTGGTGTAAAACTCTGGTGCATAACAACGGAATTAAAGGAATGGAATCAAAATGGGACACGTAAAAGAATAAAGGGTAAAGCTCTCGGCGTTGATCAATCCCTTAGGGATGCGCCATGCATTCGACTTCGTTAAGCATCGTTTGCAGGTGATTGAATGCATATCTGGCCTTTCCGATGACTCACGGTGGCCTGCCGAGGTATTGAGCCAGTGCTGCTATACTCGCAGACAAGTCTGGTGCAAATTCGCCAAGCCCGGAGGTATGGAAGGCGTGGTGGGCTATGGGCGCCGGGATCGATCCCACGTGTGTGTCACAAGGCGCCTCCGACCACTGTGCCACAGGCGCATTGCTATACAGAACATCAGTCAGGAGACTTATGTTCCTCTCAAGACCGTCTTAATATTCAGACACACGATTACCTCGTATTCCACATCTATGGCAACAAAGACAGAGCGAAACATTGATTGGTCGACCATCTGTTAAGAAATGTCGACGATAGAATGAAGAAAAAAGTGGTAGAGAGATACCAGGAGGTTGAAAACGACTTTCGCAGAACAAGCAACAGAAGGGTGGAAGTAATGTCAACCTTTGGTATTCGTAAAGAAGATTAGCTGGATCATGGATGATATGTGAAGACGTCAGAACTCAGGAAAACGACCACTACCATAGACAACAAACCTAGTTGGGCGAAATGAATGGAGGATACACTGAGGTTGGCACAATCCATGAAGCACAGTCATCTAACTATTCGAGTAATTACGAGTCAAAGGAGGAATATAGGCTACGGAATTGAAGTGACAGAGTAGAAGCTTTCAAGTATTAACCACACAACATGGCGGGAGCATTATATCCACAAGCCCTATATCATTGAATTGATCGTCTTCTGAGTTCCAAATTAAATTTCCGTTTGCCGTTACAAATCCTAGTTCTGGAGTAAGTGATGTTGGAGGTTCGGTTCCTTCGAGTGAGGAAATGAAGATAATTCGGTATATTTTTGAAGACCTCTAGCATGCAGAACTAAGCAGTCGCTGCTGGGTTGACAATGCCAGCAATGTAGATATGAGATCTTATGACATTCTTGTCATTTGCTATCTATCTTTCCTCGTTGGATGGTGATTTTTGCAATGAGGAGGCACCAATCAGACCACATGAGGAAAACGCTACTGTTCGAGCACTAGAATTGGGTAGTTAAACTCTTGTTGATTTCGTCTTATCATAACTTGACACCTCCTAACACAAACCTTTAAGCCTTTTTGTTCATGATGTATAAAATTCTAAATCCCAATTTCCACTGCCATCAATGGGGTGAGCATAAAAAAAATCAACTGAAGCAGGTCTACAAAGAAAAGTTGAAGGATTTGAACAAGAACTAGAAGTAAAACAACCGTCCGGAAACAGATCAAACCAAATATGAAGAAAAAATGCGACAGGTAAACAAAAGGAGAGTATCGCCATTATTATGGAGAATTTCTCTTCCAAATAGAGGATTCTTTATCTACCTTACAAATATTTTCTATAAGTGGATAGAGAACATTTCTCGTAGCTGCATGTAACCTACTGTATTGTATAGTAAAATATTTCTCCAGATAGAGAATTCTCCATATCTTACAGAAATTCTCTATAATTATGAAGTCCATCCAGAGGTTCATTGAGCAATAGGACGTGGCCGTACAGTGAAAGACGACAAGAAATGATTTCTGTACGACAACTTCCAAAGTACTGCACGCTAGTTAACCATTTTCATCAAAACGAGGAAAGAAAGAAAGCATTGGGGCCACAACACGTGGTACTTTGCTACCCTGCAGCCTTCTATAACACTTCAGAATCTTCGCTTGTAAGTATCCATGACTTTGATGAAGATCATAAACTGTAAGTCAGGAATAAATCCGCATGTAGCTCATAGACCCACCCCTTACTAAATATTGGTCATAACATTTAGCCCCTTTCCCGTAATACATTTGTAATTACAATCTACCTTCAACATTCCTATGGCATGCTAAGAGGCAAAAAAAGACGGAACGAAATGTAGGTAAAAACAAAGTGTCATGGGCCCCATGACTGTTATTTAGAACGGGAATTTCGAAAACCTCAGTGCCCCTCTTTGACATTTATCCACCATGCTGCTATATCTTTAAAAAAAAAAGCCTTTAATCTGTATGCAGAAGCGAACAAGTACATCCATGAGAAAACATGCTCCATCGCACAGGCGCAGCGCCACTGCTCGCGTGCCCAGCGTCACGATCAATCAGGCTTTCCTCGCACGACAGTCATATCGTATTCTTCAGTGCTTGTCAGTTTAAGCAGGAGTTTCGGGATTCTTGAAATTCTCTACTAATCGCGTTTAGCACTTATTTACTCGCATCCGATCTTCATAGAAATTATGAAGTATCGGCCATCTACCTTCCTTTTAATTTGTGTGTTCCACAGAAATTCACATCCTAAGTTTTAATGGAATTCCTTTATCGCTTGATTTAATACTTTTTTGGTCGTCATTTTGTAATGCAGCATGTTTTGGATTTGAAAACGGGTTTTAATTTTTCTGAATATTGTTTTTATCAACATATTTCCAGGCATTTCACCAAAGTCTTCAGTTCATGCGAGATAAGAAAGGCGGCTCTTCGCAGCGAATGACGAGGTAAGATCAGTCTCAACTACTAATGCTGTGTTTGATTAGTTAGCGCAGAATTGGTTTAGGAACTCTCAACCCTCGACCTCGTCAGAATGGGATGCCCCATCTGGAGTTGAACATAACTCTTTATTGAAGAAGAGGACGTAAGCATAGTTCCTCTCACGCATTCGCATGCCCTTTTTTCGTCCTAAAATATCTCTTTAGCGTGCGAAAAACTTTGGACAGTGAGCAGGATCCGCCATCAACATCATTTGCGTCGTATGTTTTTTTTAATCCTTTCTATAGGCGAAGTTTTCAGGCTAAAGTTTTTTTCTTAATATCCTCCCTTTATATTTTTGTATCTATGTTTTTATGTCTTAGTTGACATAGAGAATCAGCGAGATGCAAAGCCATCTAGAATTTGGCTTCCCAGCGACCCTACTTATCTGTTTCATCTAAAATCTCCAGTATCCAGTATTTCAGAGAGTGGATGTGCTTTTTTTTAAGGATTCGTTCTTCATTGGAGTAGAGAATTTCTTATTAATCCATTCACAAAGACGCCAAGTTTTGCTCCCCACCCGAAAAGACGTATAATTCTTGGCCTTTGCGGCCTTATTAGGGTGCGTGCAGCGCAGTAAGTGGTCGGAAGCGACCTGTAATACACATGAGATAGATCCACTTGCTGTAGACTCACTAAGCTTCCCATCCTTCCAGGGTCGGCAAGTTGCTACCAGATCAGCGATTGATGAACGCTCAGAGTTTATCCTTTATCTCTTTGTGGCCTTGTTGGTTTTTAGACAATAAACAATAATTTTTCATAACTAGAGGTTTTGAAGGGTTTTGAACTTAACATGGTTATAGAACACTTCGATCTATTGTACTATTGGTATGAATGGTATGTATGTCATTCTCTACTGTCTGTTACTATGGTCCATTATGCAAATGCATTGCTGTCAGCATTCGAAAACTTTGGCGGCTTATATTCAGCATGCTTCAGTGTTTTTTTTATATCCGCACATCCTATACAATAGGTGTGATTCATTATAACAATTAGAATGAAATAACCATTAATTGTTGGACGAATTTTTGAGTAACGAATTTGCGCAGAAGGAGGTTTTTCTCTAAATTGCTAAGTGGAGAGAATCCCTTTCCCACTCTCACCTCCCTTAGTTTGATCGACTTTGGTTTAGCTATCGAATGGACATATTATGGTAAAAAGTTTCTGGAACCAGCTGAACTGAAAACTCACATGGTAGTTAACATTGACGTCTGTTGTGAGTTAACTAATAAAGCACATATCACCTATACTTTTAAGGCGATAGGACCGAGTTTGTTATACTGATCTGTGGCGTCCTGAACCCCCAAATTTTCTCTACTATTGAAAAATGTTCGTCTGTTTAAAAGCCACCAAGTCTGCCTACTCCTAGTTTTTTTCTAGTGTTTTTTTTGTCTCGCGTGCACTACCATGTCATATAGTCCACATAATGTATATATATATACATATATATATGTACATATATATATGTATATGTACATATCCTCCCAATGGTTTACCGCCTCATCGTGGCTGGGATGTGTTTCTGGGTGTGGGACTGCGATGTACAGCAGGGGATTCATCCCCTGGCAGGGTCTCCCAAGCTGAGAACTAGTCAGGCATTTCCATCACGAAACTTAGCTAAGAGTAAACCAGTACCAGGATCTCAGGATCATTCATAGTCCTGGTATCAAGGTCGCATGGTGGCAAATCTCCCTCTGATCCGCAAGGGCTGCGACTGCCTGTGGTGGTGAAGACCTGGGGCAGACTTTGGATAGGCTAATTTCGGGATTCCAGGGAACTACAATGTGTCAACCCGCAGATCTTCGAAAAATGGAGCTTATGCTGCCGCCCGCACATCCAGTGGGGATGGGCCGTTCAAGTATCAAGTACTTGTACATATATATACATATATACGTAGGGAGTGGTCTTAGCATAGGGGTTAGTGATGCCGTGGATTAGGAAGGAAAACGCTGTAGTTCAATACCTGCTCCAGTGGTCTCCTGCAGTCGATGTGACGTGAGAACGCCTTAGTCTGGTTATTCTCAAAGTTAAAAGGAGAATTGACTCGACCAGCACTCTACAATATTCGCAAAGAAGATGAAATCCTCAAGCAGTAGCTGAAACAACGCGCAAAGTGTTCGAAGACCATTGTGAACGATGATTGCGAGGAAAACCAATTCAGTGCAAGAGGTGCTTGGATCTTCACAGTAGATATTAATGAAGGGTAGTGTGAAACGAAGTAAAAATAAATAAATATATACATATATACTTAGCTCTCTGCAAAGTGTTCTTGCTGAGTTCATAGAGGCGAAAACTATAGGTCGTAATCTAGAATGTGTTGAAGGTGACTCTTGTATATCTATGAAAATTCTTTAGCGTATTTGTGTTCACAGACACATTTAAACGTATGCATGGCGGAATTTTTCAAACAGTACGTGTTACTCTTAATGAATTTTTCTATGAATTATTTTGTCGCGTAAACATTGACTGTGATACTTTTTATGTTAAATTAATATTTCCCTGCCACGGACGATATGACAGAAATTATTTTCGGCACGCCAAAATTAGGAGAGAAAGCTGATTTAGACGGTTTTATTAATCGACATGAGTGCTTTGCGATATTTTGGTTATTGAATGGATAGAGTAACACGGGAACTTGTTCCTTTTGAGAAAAAAGCTTCTTTTCTAAGTTCCATTTTTGACTGCAATTAGTGCATGCTATATACGGTGGAAGATAAGGTGTCAGCTAGAATTATTTAACACTAAAGAATCAGCATGGTTTGACCACTATTCAGACAATGCGAATGTGATGACCGCGTTCATATTTGAACAGGCGCCTCTCGGCTAAAATGGACTTTATTAACTGCAGTAAAAGTACTATAATCCGTAAATCTTTGTCTTCGTGGGAAAAGTTTTCCTCGAAATTTGTGATTTTGATCTGATGATTTCCTGGAGCACATCAAACGCACACTTTTTTTCGTCGAGATTCATATTTCGAGAATGAAAAAATGTGTTCCGTTCAGTAGAACACGTTGATTTTCCCAAATACCCTGTTAATGTTTATAGCTGGCAGGATTTCGTGTCGAATTTAAAAAATATAAATTTCGTTACGATTTTTTCCGAAATTTTAATGCTAAACACATTTTTCAAAGATTAAAATTCAAGTAGATGTTAAAGAACCATACATACTTCTGAATAGATAGAGCGGAGTCTCTTCTTCAAGGAGATCACGTGCCCAACTTTTCAAGTTTTCTAGGAATTGAAAAATTGTCAGCAGTTTCCGAAGAATCGGCTCCGGCCGCAAGTGTAATAATCGGGATCCCAGTGCATCTTAATATGGTGTATATTACATCGCGTATAATATACTATGCGGAATGTATAATATACTGTGTTATATGTGGTATGAAATGTGTAGTATGTAGTATACTTGATATACAGGTGTTCGGAGGTCAATGAACCTGCGACGTCCACCTCGCTACGACGATCTGCTCGGGAACCGAGGCCAAAACGGGCGCTCAGTCCCGCTCCGATAAGTCCGAAGCGGAGATCGCGTGCGAAATCTTACTTGGTCTTGTTACACATTTTTCTTCTCTGTTTTGTTTTTCTTTCGTGTTTTTAAAACAATCGGTTAGAATTTTCATTCTGAATATATTCTTCTACGCTTTACATGAGCGTTGGCTTGCGTTACTCAGTTTTGCCTGTTATCATTTAGCTGCAGTTTAGAATGACGATTTGAAGGAAAATGAAACGTGGACGACACGGAAAACGGGAAAGAGTGGTAGGCCATTCATGTTCTCATATCTTAATTTCTGTCTTGTATTTTCGAGGAGCAGTAAACTATTTTTTCTCAGTTCTCAGAGATTATTCTTATAGGAGATGTCAACGGAAAAAGGAATCCAATTTATATTTCTGATTCACTTGGAAAATCACAACAGCATGTAGTAAGTGTTGCTGCATTTGCTTCTTATCAGTGGATTTTTTGGGTATTACTAATAAAGTTATATTCTATTCCTTGACTCTAAATGTATAATTTATTTATAGGCCAATGTTACATTTTATGCAAAGGATTTCATAAACTCTTAAATTTGCGTGAAATGATCTGCTAATTTCTCCTATTGATTGTTTAACAATTTTGCCTCACAGGCAAAGAGGACTACTACTGCTAGCAACAAACCCGTCCATTACGCCGATATTTCTGACGTTGATTATGGAACAACAGTCTCTGATGATGATATGGAAAACGATTTAGTGGATATTCAGCCATTTGAAACTAGTGACACGACAAGCGAAGTGTTCGTTAACACGAGTTTTGTATCACAACGAAATCCTGAACAGCACGTTAGTGTTAGTGTGCTGACGTTATCACAGTTACCGGAGAACGCTGAACATTCCACAGAATATGTTCCTGATTTGAGAACACCATGTGAAAGAGTCCCTCCTTCGGATCAAGAAATTGTTGTGCTTTCGACGCCTTGCGATGCAACGCAAATTCGTAAAGAGTCTTCGAACAGTTTTGATCAGTTAAATCCAGTAGATATTAATCCCATGCAAGCATTCTCGCCTTTGGGAGATCAAAACTGTGCTAGCACTTTTGATGATCGCTCTGAATCTTCTATCACTGCTGCGAATGAGGACCATTCAATAATGGATGAAACAAATCAAATGGAACCACCAGTCTTGGACGGACCTATCATTGTTTCTCAATGTGAAGTTAAATCGACTACTGAAATGCCGCCTACTCTAATGGCAGATGGCATTGAGCAAAAGGAACCTCCGAAACCGGTTAGTTGCTTTTACCTCTTCACAGCCGGTTTAATATATTTTGTTTATTTATAGATCCACTATGTTGTTGGAGAAATTTACAGAGTGCATACACCAAATGGAACTGAGCAAGAAGTACAGTTAGCTGTTATGGACGATGGTTGGTCTTTGATTTCCTTCAGCACTACCAATTTTTAGAGGCGTTTTGATTTCTATGTGAATAATTATAAGTTCAGACGGATTTTGCGATGCTACAAATGTTTCTCAATATTCCGTTGAATGATAAGTGAATGAGCATCTAGTTCTGTGTTTGCAACGAAGGTGCATTATGGGCTCATCTAAACTGTTAAAGGAAATGAATGGTTAATATAAAGAATCCTAATTCCAAAAACATTGTGTGCTGTTTATTCGAACATCTTGTTGGGGAATCTGTGTCTTGGTTTCCTGTGACTTCACCCAGTGTTTTATAGGTTCTGAAGCCCTAGTGAATGTTAACGGCGAAATAATTGATATGACACCGGAGGATGGGTATGCTACCATCGACATTTGCGATATTGATTTCAACTTTTTGGACGACAAGAATATTGTGTGTGGTCTATGTGGAGAAGTAGTATTGTACTCGTCGCTATTCAATGGTCATTTTAGTAGAGTCCATCCAGAGGTTTTTACTGTTTTCTATATGCTTGATTAGTTTTTAGCTTTATACAGATTTCCACTATTTGTTCCAGATGCTAGACGCTGACATGCTTATTGGTGGAGTGCCTTACGTGGAATATTTGAAGACAAAGTTAGAAAGTGATCGGAAGAATATAAAAAATGGTTTTAAGTGCGTATGACAAATGTATTTTACAAATGAAGTGAATATTTAAACTATCGTTGTAAAAAGCCAAAAAAATGAAGTCTTCTGCGGTGGATCTTTTTTCAGAAACAATAATTTATAGCTAGCAGAAGCGAACCTAAGAAATGTTGAATCTTTATTTATAGGTTTTCAAAGCAATCAGTATTTCGGAGGACTCCTCGTAGAGTTAGCCAAATACGAATCAATCCAACTGAAATGTCAATGGCCCAGCTTGAAGTTGCGTTGAAGAAGAAATTATTGGAGAAGATGGGACGAAAGGTAACAGCGTTTATTATCAGTTCTTCCTTGAATTCAGTTTTCATTCACATCATACAGAAGTGTTCGCTTTCGTTCAATAAAGAGTAAACTACAGGTCAGTGTCTCCCTAGTTGACAAGGAGCATGTAAAATGTGGTATCTGCAACTCTGTGATCTCTATTAATAAGAAATTTGAAGTTGGTTTTGTTTTTAATTCCTTTGCATAGCTGTTCTTTATTCTGAAGCAGACCATTGGTATACATGCGTACATCCTTATTCAGATTGTACATGTCGTTCGCCATTTCAACGCCTGGCATCCTACAAATCATCAATGTGCTGGGCAGTGGCAAAAAAGGACTCAGAAACCCGGATTGGGAAAGCCACTGTCAAAGCAGGTTAATGAAATGGTGTGCCATACTCGCATCTCTTAAGTTTTTAATATCAACTCTTAGGATTTTGCCGTTATTGATCTCTCACACACACAACCAGATAATCTGCAATGCATTTGGTGTGGGATGTTCATCGATGCAACAACTATAGCAGTGCACTTCACAGATTGTCACCCTGGAGAGGTTGAGGTGCCCAAGTGCCTGCTATGCATCCAGGTATATTCGAAGATTATCTAACTGTGAATTCTTCTTACTGTGGGAGTTTATGTAGAGTGTTTTATTATTGCCTTACTCTCGCTTACACTTATCGTAGAATTTTCAGGAGCTAGTAATCAATGCTCGTATCATAGAGAAATTTGGATCCGATTTTGACGTTATCCTTCCTGATGAGTTTCATATAAAAGTCGAGAAGTTAAACAAATTGTTCACATCCGAGTCGCAAATGGACAATGTGAGTTTATGTAACTTTCAAAATGATGTAGTGTGTGTAGAGTTTTTCTTTTTATGATGGCTAAAGTTTTCACGTCAACATTTTTAGGCAATAGAGAGATATCTTGATACTTTAAATGGGAAGCGGAAAAAGGCTCCATTAACTGTGGAACGCAGAGTTTTTGACGGTGACTCTGTAGTCGTGCATACTACTGCCATTCCGGGAGAGGAAGTTGCAGTGGATGACGTCGATGAAGTAATCGCTCGTCCGAGACCGACCAATGTAAGTTTATAAATTCATTTCACGATTTTCTTCAGAAACGTATTCATAATTGAGGCTTTTAGACCAATAGTCGTCAAGTTTTTGGTCGACATAACAAACCGAAACGGAGTATGGTCCAGCCGATTTATCGGTGCTTTCTTTAAAGTTTCTTTTTGCGAATTGCAGTATGTCAAACATGTTAGTTCAGTCAAGCTCCACCCACGAACTCCGATTACGTGAAGGTCATAAGTGATTCACATTGGAAATGCAAGATCTGTGATGCTGATCTATATGGCGCTGTTATCTCAGCTTGTGCGTACTGTCTTGTTGTCCTATTTTACGTTAGTTCTTTCAGCAACGACTGATGCTTTGACTATTTTGTTTTATAGGTGCCATTCGTCACTTTAAGTTGAAACATCCCCAGGAATCAGACAGCCTTCAGTTCGAAGTAGTTCGAGTTAGTATATGAAAATTCTCGGCGTTTTGGCATTTTCTCAGGTGGTGGTTCGTATTGTTCTGTGTATAGGCCCGCCTTGATAGGATAAGCGATGGATGTATGGAGTTCGTACACCCACAAATGCTGGAGTGCTTAATTTGCCATCTTACTTATCAGCTGCACAAGCCTTACAATGTGTGTCGCGGGATCCGGCACCTGAAATCCCGACACCCTGAAATAATGCCTGAATTTAATGGCGAACCAGTAAGCTTTCGTATTGTTTCTGTAGTTTATTTGATCACTGGTTATTCTTCAATCTCACTGTATCATGTTTTTATTGATTAAAGCTTCGTCGATACCGGAAAACTGGTACTGCTTTGCGACTAGATGACGATCCTAACATTCCAAGACGTCGCAAAGATGCGCGGATGCCTGTTGATAATGATCTTCTGGCTCGTTTGAAGGCGCAATACCCTAATAGCTTCGATAAGGTATTGTCTAGAGGTTTCTATTTCTTATCACTAAATTGTACCATTGCTCATAGAAGACATGAATTTTGCTTGATGAAAATTTTTACTGTCTACAAAGACAGCTTAACGGAATGTAAAGTAAAAATCACAAGGGCATATGGCTGTTTCTTAAAGTGTAGCTATAAAAGTTAATAAAATGAGTCTGGATGAACTCTAGTAAAACGCTAGTTAAGAAGAGGTGAACGTAGCGCTCTAAACGATTTGCTCTTCTTTCTCCTAGGCTAGTTAAATTATATTTTGCGTGTTGATAGTGTAACCGTAAAGAGTACTTTTATCCAGTAAACGGCCACATTGACATCGTATTGAGCTTTTGTCAGTGAGATTGCCTGCAGTTGCTTTATTTCATGGTTTGTTCCAGGTACAAACAATTTATGGAACTGCTGGTGAACCTATGTATGTGCTTATGAGCGAAAGTAATGAAGCTGATGAGGTTGTCAAGGAGAACATGAAGCTGATGTCCAATGTATCAGCTTTCGAACCAGAAAAGAGTGCTGAAGCAGAAGAGGTTAATCGTCTTTTCTAATATGTACATAGGATTTCTGAGCGTAAAGGTTTCCTTATTAATAATTATTTCTTATTTTCTGTTAAATTATTGCTTCCTGGCTTTTTTTAAGCAGCGCACGTTAAATATTTTTATGACGGTATAATCTTCGATTATTTTTTTAGAAGTTCATTCAATACCTGATTTTCCTCAAGTTTTTTGACATCTTTATCTCTAAATCTGTTGATTAGAGAACTGTAATGCTCTTACCTTACGCTATTTCCCAATTCTGCTGAGTGACAGTAATTCTTTGGTTCACTCTTTTGGATTTGTGCTTTTTATTTTTGAAATTTCTTTTTTTTCTCAGGGTAACGGAGAAGAGATTTCATCAGACGACATTAAACCGAGACAAGAAGTTGTATTCGAGTTAAGCTACGATTATGTGGGTTCACTAATTTCTTTTCTGTCCTAGTTTTGAATGCTGTTAGTAGGCTTACATTTCTAGAACAACTTGGATGCTGAAGGTAAGCCGCGGAAGCATTTGGTTCGTGTAACGCCGGGTATGCAGAACAAGTTGCCGGTATGTGATAGTTAGGTTTTCTAGAATTTTTATTATTCCTTTTAATTTTGAACACTGTTTTGGTCTGTACATTTGCAATAATGGGCATCTTCCTTATGGGGACATTTTGGAGGCACGGCGGGTCATGCTCATTGGTTTCAATGCATTTTGTGGTAGCTTTTTTTTATAACACAAAGTTTTTCTTTCAACACGTTCTTGGTTGAGTCGACGGCTCTTTTCGAAAAAAGCAGTTTAATATGTTTTAAAACATACAGAGAAGTGTTTTTAGGACAATTTTTTTCACATCTTCGAATTTTGTAGCGTGATTAATGTTGGAGAATATGTTAGACTTGTGGATGAGGAGGATACTGATATATTTCCTTTAAACATATATCGTTCTCAGGCTCAGATGGTGTGTTTCATCGGCGTGCTTTCGTATAGTGTACCTTTGGGAAAATTTTTGGTGCACCTCTAGCGCAGTGGTTAGAGATTCTATGCAGTACACATGGGTTTAATCTCGCGCTCCAGGCTCATTAGACTTTCCATTCCCCCATCAGGCTTGGGTAAATCCCACGTCTTAAACTTGCCGACTCTTTCATCCATTCAGAGTGAGCAAATTAGTACCGGAGATTTTTGGCAGGATTACAACATTTACTGCCTACAATGGTAGGTTGCTGCGAGTCAGATATGATGCAAACCAGGTATTCGCTTACCTCTGACGACGTTTAATGAGGTCGAATGCATGGCACACCCATCGCGGATTGATCAAGGCGAGCACTTTAATCGCTGGCACTTTGATCCTTTACCTTTTTTGTGCATTTTAGCGTGTAATGTGCCCGTATTGTAATTATGGAATAGTGGGAAGAGCGTCGTTTATTACATTGGTTTCATTTAGTGCTAACCTATTTACAGTCTTTATCACCTATTATATACGAAAAGATTTACTTTGTTATACCATCTGTTGCCTGTCGTCCCGTTATAGGTTCGTCAAGTAACTCGAGCAGGCACCAGTAAACCTTCCATTTCGCGCACAAAGTTGCCAGTGGGTTCTGCTTGCTTTAGAGACTCGGTGAGCTAAGATTTCTATGGAGAACTCTAACCATCGGGTCGATATTCTTCCTGTTATTCGTTTGACATAACGGGGAATCCAACCGGTAATAACCCTTGTCCACGGTTGTCGTTCATACGCATTACGTGGTGATTTGTAGCATTATGGGAGCACCTTATCTTCGACAGTTTGGCGTATAGAACGGAATCTTTGATTTTTGATCATTGACACAGGTCGGAGCTTCCAATTAATTCCCCTACTTGTGTGACACGTGGTACTCCTTGCGTCAACCTTTCGACTACGCGTTCATTAACGATGAGACAGCTTTCGTCCTGCTTACGCAGAGGTTGCGTTTCGACAAACTGGCGTATAGATGTTTAAATCGACGTAAATGAGACAGCGGTCTCTTGTACTCCTACAATACTTCAGTAAGTCCTGTTGTGTGGATATGGTCCATCGTCTTGATTCCTTTTCGAAACCCTGTTTGCTCACATGGCTCTCCTTTGTCCAGTGTTCTGTCTATTTTGTTTAAGATGTCTTCGCTGAAAAGTTTGTAGACGCAGACAGCAAACACATTGTGCCATACCCAAGACCGACTTTCTGTTAACCTCGGCATTGATTGATAATTCGATGTTTTTCCTTCAATAAGCAGACACGAGGTTGTTAATATAGAAATTATTAGAATACAATAGCTGACGTTTCGGCGGTTTCGCCTTCTTCAGAGCCTGAAGAGGTCAAATTGAGATGTGATCTACTCAGCCAAACACTTTCATAACCCTAGCAAATAAAACTTGACAAATCGATTTGCATTCGCATAAGAAACAGCTTCATTCAAACACCTACCGTTTATTTGTTGTAAGTTGTTTGTTGTCTATCCGAGAACGGCTGCAACACAAAATGGTATCGAAAGCCAAGCAGTAAGAAAACAATGGTTCATTACCGCTCCTCTCACCCCTCACACACTAAAAGGGCGCTTATAAGAAATATGTTTCGAACCGCCGCCAGCGTGTGCACAGGTAGAGAGCAGAGGGAAGAATCCTCGAAACTGGGGCGCCAAATAGCCATTTCAAATGGTTACGAAACTGTAGCTTCTCGGCATAAGCATAGAAGAAAAACCACGCCCCAGAGCGATAATTCTAGCGAGAACAAGGCTATGTTCCTGTTGTCCTTTATTTCAAACGAAAAAAAACGGCTATAAAACGCTGCTTAATAAGGGCCGGTCTAAAGAATTCCGTAAGAGTGATAGAAATACCACCGGACACTCTAAGACGCCAGCTGGTTCGCAACCGCCTACATGACCGTCTGTGTACAACGAAAACGGCATAATTTGCCCTGACGGTAGAGACGGTGATTGCATGAGTTCGGGTACAGTCTATCTGATCTCTTGTAAAGCGTGCGGGCACGAATATGTTGGCGAAACGGGTAGACCGCTCTGCGTCCGCATAAAAGAACACCTAGTCGGTAAATCTAAATTAAAACCAAACACTCCACTAGGCGTGCATAGGATGCAGGAATACAACGGAGAAGATCTTGAAGTAGGAGTCACTATCCTCACGCACGAATCGAAAACATTAGCGCGTAAAACTCTTGATGCGTTTTGGATCAATTCCAAAATCTCGAAAATAAACCGCAAGGAGTGTATTCTCAACACGCGTGACCTGGTACCGTGCCTCAGGCTATTCCAATGACCTGACAGAGACACAGTTATTGCCCATGTATTACTCTGTGCGGCTGCTGTCCATCAGTTAACTCAAATACAAGAAATAAACGATCGGTGTTTAAATGAAGCTATTTCTTATGCGAATGCAAATCGATTGTCAAGTTTTGTTTGCTTGGGTTATGAAAGTGTTTGGCTGAGTAGATCACATCTCAATTTGACCTTTTCAGGCTCTGAAGAAGGCGAAACCGCTCAAATACCAACTATTGTATCTTAATAAATTCTATAATAACAACCTCGTGTTTGCTTATTGTAAAAGAATATCAGATTGTGCCATAGTTGCCGATATCGTAGCGGTATCCCTTCTTTAAAAACGACACTCGTGCAGCTCTTCTAATGAATAAGAACTTTACATTCTAAAAAATAGCGTGTGAGGAGCCGAGACAGTGTGTTGACGAGGGTTGGCGGAAGCTTCTTCGGGTGTTCAGATGTTATCCTCTACTGACCTGATGTTGTCTCCATTGCCTTTCTGGAAGTTGTAATTGTTCTGTCTGGGCATTGAAGTGCAACCATCTTATTTTTCTGACTGGCGAAATTTCGGTGTGCTTTTTGAATGCTTTCCCATCGTATACAACTTCGACATAATTGCTCCACTTCTCTCTTTAAGATCTTCTTTTATCACCTCTTTGCGTTGTTTTGGAAGTTCGGACGTAAGTTGGCGGTTGCCTGTTGCTCTTCCGATTCCATGCTGTCGTACCAGCTGGAGTGTTTATGAAGTCTCTTAGACACTTTCGAACTTTCGACTTTCACAGCTGACGCCAAGATGTTGAATGAGCCGATCGTATTCCTCGTCGATGTTATCAACAACGGCGTTTTCCCAAGTGCCAACTAGTGGACTGTATGAATCTCATTTAATGATGGTTTTGCGACTTCGTTTTCTGGATTTAGCGGCTTTTTCATTCTTCGCGAGAAATGACATCTTGCACTAAGGAGGCGATAGTCTGATCCCGTGTAAGATTTTAGGACAACAGCGATATCAGTAAGGCAAAACCTTCGGTTTTCTACAATGTTGTCTATTTCATCATGGTACTCTCCATTGAAGGGCGCGCGTGGCGCAGAGGTAGGAGGCGCCCTGCAACACACACGTGGAATCGATCCCTGCTCCTATGGCCCAGCAAGCCTTCCATCCCTCCGAGGTCGGCAAATTGGTACGAGACTTGTCGGGGAGGATAGCAGCACTGGCTCGATACATCGGTAGGCCACCGTGACTCATTGTAAAGGCCAAAAATACATTCAATCACCTGCAAACGACGCTTAACGAAGTTGAATGCTTGGCGCATCAGGGATCGATCAACACCGAGAGCTTTATCCTTTTTCCTTTAATCTATTGCGAAAAGTCTTTTAAATCAAAAGTACTGCTAGGTTGAAAGTAATTAGAATCGGATTGCACTAGATATGGGCAAACGTCCTCTATTGTCGAATTTGCAGTCCTTTGCAATCGAATGCACTGTGGCATTGTGGTGATGATTTTTTAGTCCAGTTTGAAAAACTTCTCAGTGGGTCTACAATTTCCGAAGAGTGTGGAAAAGCGAGTAGAGGAGCACAGAATAGTAATAGTATTAATAGTAATAATATAATATATAATAGTAGTAGTAACACATAGACCCTTCCAGGCTCTGAGGAAGGCGAAATCCGCCGAAACGTCAGCTTGTGCGTAAATAAAGAAATAAAATAGCACCTCGTGCTTGCTGAACAGAAGTAGAAAGATATTCAATCAATGCCGAGGTTAATAGAAAGTCGGACTTGGGAGTTACATAGAATAGTTATTGAAAAAATAAAGAATTGGAAATAAACTGAGAAGCCCATAGTTAAAGTTGCAATTTTAAGGAATACTAGAAAAGATGTGTTGATTTCAATGCGCACCTCTCGGGCGAAAAGATGGGGTTCCAGGTGGCCGCCGCTAAAAATATAATATAGTCACGAGTGTATCAAATGCGCTTTTTGTCTTATTTATACCGTTATAGTTGAGTTCGGATACGTGTGCTAGGTATATTATGGAGAACGAAAGCAGCGTCAGTATCCCGGAGGCGCAACTGGAACACAACGAAGTACGAAAACACGATGTTATTATGGTCTTATTTTGTTTTATCTTTCTTCTTATTTAGGCGAATGAAGTGTTTTTTGATGAAGGAGCACAGGGTGAAGAAAATTCCACAGATGAGACAACGGTAATTCTGGGTGATGTTTTGTTCATTGACGCAGATGGTAACGAGATTATCCAGCGAACCACTGCTCTTCAGGATGGAACTGTTCAACAGCAGTATTTAGGCCAGGTGAGGATAAAATTCCAGTATTTGTTATTACACTTCTATGTTTGACAAATGCCGTTAGTTTGGTGCAAAAGTAACTGCGGTTTTTACATCGTTGAAGCTTGTCTTTCGTTATTGGACTACGTTCTTGAATAAGTTGTCATGACATAAATAAATTGAAATGCACGCTTACTCTTTTTTCGTTGATTATTTTATTTGTTGTAAACTATGAAAAATGATGAATAGAAAACAAACTCGAGCAGCTTTATTATTGAAAATAAGTCATAAGGTAGCGGAGCAAACTCAGAATACGAGATTTTTTTAGACGATCCGTCTTTTAGATCTACTATGCGGATCCCAGCACTTCCCGCGTTTGATTTGTTTCCTCGTATTTATCATCTACGAAGCTCTTCCAGCTTTTTCTTTTTTATATCTGGTTTCGGCTGCTTGAGGATTTTTCTTAGATCATGATCGTCGTTGAATGCCAGCCGAGTAGATTCTCCCTGAAGCTCTGAGATAGCCGTGCCGAAGCGTTCCCAATTGGACTGTAGAGAGTGAACGTTTCCCAGATAAATCCAGTAGCAATTTCCCGACGCTGGATGGTTGGGAGGTTTAGTGAGTCCGATGCGGTGTCGAACTAGAACTGTACTCGTGATGGTTGACTTCACTACCACTGTGCTACCCGCCTCCTACAGCATTACATTTCATTGAGGAGATGCTAATGAACATGTCGAGAAACGATGATTCAAGAGGATTTCCAAAGGAAGCGAGAGCCTTGAAAAGAAGCGTAGTGGTTGCCCAGTGGAAGTAAACAATAAGCTGAAAGTATCGAAGTTGCTCCTCTTATAAACATTGAGAAGTCAACAGTGAATTGAGATTCACCATTCTAACATTGTTCGACATTTGAAATAAAACAGAAAGGTGAAAAATTCATCAATGGGAGCTCACGGGCTGACTAAAAATTGTACAACTCGTCGTCTTGATGCCTCTCCTTTTGGCTTTTTTTGTGTAATGAAAGCTACCCATTTCTCGATTTCTTTACAACCTACAGCAATGTTCAGCGTAGTTATTGGTTTGACATACAGCTCTGAAGCACTTTCTAAACCCAAATATAAACCGCACGATTGTTATGTTTGCTGTTTGATGATCTTTTTTGAAATCATCCACTACAGTTTTCTAGTGAAACTATTACAAAGCAGAAATGCTATTGTAAAGTCGATGAAATGTATTCAAATTGCAGTCTACTTATTTCAGCTTTGGCTAATAGAAAAAGTGCAGTTGTTTTGCACGGCAACGCTTAACCACACCACAAACGCTGCAGAAATTTAGCAATTTGTGCTGCCAACTCTGGCTCACCTAACGTAACACTGTACGTTTGCTAACCGACTAGCGCTTTCTTAGCAACGAAAAGAACTTTCCAGAAAAAACCTTCAGCGATCAAGCCAATGCTAGAAATGCCTTTGAAGAAATTATTACCTGCAGGCTTTTGAACTATCAATAAATAATCTTATATCTTGAAATCTGAAGATTTTAATGGTTCTTGCTTTAGTCCATAATGTTGGGTTTGACATTAGTTGCAACAATTGAACATTTACTATACGAGAACCGCAATAACTGTTGCTCCAGGCTAACATTTTTGTCTTTTTCATATCTACTTTTCCATTGTAAGCGCTGACACTATAATAATTCTAGACCGTTAGGAGTGAATGATTGAATAATGACTCATATTATGACCCATTCATTTCTTATTTAAGCCGTAGTTTTTACAGGCAGAAAATGGTTCCTTCTTTGTACTTGGTGACGCTGTGTCGGCAGGGTTGCACCCTTGTGCTGACGTTGTCGATGTTTATGAGGAGGAATTAGTAAATGATAGTGCGGAGTCACAAAATTTGATACTTCAAGAGGGTTATGAAAATCAGGTTGGCAATGTCGCTAATCATCTTAACCAAGGAAATAATCGTAACGGACATCGTGGTCACAGTGAAATAAGCGAAGGACAGGAGTTTGATGCCAGTAACACTGTTATTGTGGGGGAGGCATATAGTGATGACAGAGCAGTTTTAGTAGAGGAATTTTCCGATTGTGTTGAAATCGGAGAAGCGCAACCAAAATACAGCCGTAAGGTGGTGATCGGTGATAATGTACAGTACGATGAAGGTGAAGTAGCATCGAATGAAGAGGTTTTTCGGGAAAGACTTGTTACTCGAGATGAGCGATTCGACCGTGGCGCTACAGAAGTTGGGCATTCGACCACAAGCGGCTGTCAGCAGAATGTCTCGGAGCAGAATACTAGTACAGTGGTTAAAAATAGGTAGCCTATATATGTAGTTTTTTATTCGCGGATGCTGAATGGGTTGGCTATTCACAAACAGTTTTGTCCTGTCAATATTTTTGAATATGTGGGAAAATGGGAGCATTTGCATGTGAATGTTTAGTTAAAATTTGTAACAGTCAAACATAATTTGATCCCAAGTGTTCTGCCATATTTCGATGTTTACTTCATCCAAGTGTTCAAACTGTTATTCTATCATTTTATGAAGTGCTTACGATCGATGTGCATAATTTTGTTAGGTTTTCAATTTATCTTTTTTTTGCTTGTTTGGCGTTTTAAGTGTGACTAAATTGTCTGTTGTTCGAATGTTTTTGGTGTTTTCATATGTTTTTCACATTTAGGAAAAGAGATTTATGTTTGTATTTCCAATACTTTCGATAAACATTGTTATGATAAGACGTATGGGTTGGATAACAAAAAAAGCAAAATAAAACAAAGCACTCGGCGTTGATCAACCTGAGGGATGCGTCATCCATTCGACTTCATTAGGCATCGTTGGAGGCCAGTGCTGCTATCATCCCAGTACCAATTTGCCGACTTCGGATTGGTGAAAGGCTTAGTGAGTCACGGGAGGAGTGGTCGGTCCCATGTGTGTGTTGCAGAGCGTCTCCGACCACTGTGTCAAGTGCGACCATATTGGCTGAGTAAGAAAAAAGAATTATGGGAAATGATACTTCCATGAAAGACTTTTGTAACCGTTATTTAACGTCGATTCTGGAAAGCTCCAAGTTAGCCTGTAGCGGTTGTGGAATGGAGCTTCTTGGTTTTTAGTTCTTTCTACATGAAATTACTACCAGTTATGTCTGCGACAGATGACCAGTGTGCCATCCACCCTTCCTCTTTTGAGGAGAAAGAGTGAACAGATATCACAGTTTCGCAACAATGAAAACTGTTAATTACAGATGGGTAGAATTTCTGAACGAATGGTATGATGCTCGTGTGCGGGGTCTTCGCCTTCAGAACCGGATGCAACGGGAATTTCCGTTGTTGTATCAAGTCAAGTCCTCTGGTTTGCAATGCCGCTTGAAGCGCTGTCGCATTGCACTGCTTTCTTAGTAATTTTTTGCTTTGTGTTCTGCGTATTCTCGAAGTCCTCACACATATTGGTGTATAGTTTTTGAAACACTTCAGCTCTTCTGTGTGACGGAAAAGCCTTGTCGAGCATGCAACCATAGTGTTGACAACATATGGTAGTTGATTTCACAAAATATATGAAGGATGTGCCCATAATTTTTTACATACACACTCCATATACACTTCGTATTTTTGGAAATAAAATAACAATTAGTTACCATCCCCGAATCGGTTTTTATATGCTTGGCACACAGCGGACGATGCAGAGTTTTCTGGAGCGTCCAATAATCGTCTTATTCCTACAGTTGACTAGGTCCTGACGAACATTTTTGCATGTTGTTACCAACATTTACGCCTTAAGGCACTAGTACTGTTGTTTTAGGTTTTAATTTCCCGCCTCTACAGAAATGATGTCAAATGTGACTTTCGAACTCGGCTTTGTTAGCACTAAAATAAAAGCAGTAGCAATAATAATTGCATAATGTCAATAATAGCGACATAACATCTTTTCAAAACCCAGCTAAGATTATGTACGATTTCCATGTAGAACACAGCAACCTTGTCTTCGTTATAGCTTGCGGCTGGCGCGCAGATGGCGAAGATTCGCCAAACCAACATTGTTGAACAGCTTCTTCCTCTAGCATTCGGGTTTTTTCGTAGTTCGAAGGGTTCGTTATTCATGGTCAAAGGTGTGTTCACAAACACACCTTACTCCGACTCCTGCATTATCGCGTATTCCGTGGAACATCCGTTACATTACTAGGTTATCACTAGACGATTCAGATGCTAGCGTGCATGTGCTATAATTAGGGATCACTACCTTATTTCCACCACACTTGAGTAGCTTGGAATGGCTGTGAGATTTTAGCAACCTCTTACTATTTATTTTCATTAATGTTGCTGTAACTGGGTCCTTTCGTGGCCAGAAGAATGAGGCTCATTATTTTACAGCGCGATTGATACTTGCTGACCTTCCAATAGTAGGAGGGAACTCCTAACCATTTCTCATGTACTTCGCAAGCACTTGGATGCATTTTCTTGGCAAAATATCCTTGATGTTATACGCGAATATATGAAACGTTAATGTGAGAGATGATTTATATTAAGTTGACATAGCACAAATATGGAACTAATCCTCTGGATCCAAATGCATCTTAGAAAGAGGCATTTTGGTAGCCTTTAGTCCGCAAATAGCCAACCTTCTACCACTCACCTGGATACGCGCCACACCGATTTACCGCGATTAACCACCGCCTAGAGCCTCTCAGTGAGGGAGGGACACCGTGATAAGAACGAATGAATGTACTTGACGTAATGACAATAGAGGTAATGAGTATTGTATTCTATGCATAGTTTGTTAAAAGCATATCCAATATTAGAAATAGCTCATGAAAGCTGTTCTCTACACTTAGTGATTTGCAAAAAAAAAACGGGATGAGGTCCTGGCGGTAAACTATTGCTGTCGAAAAGAATGCGCAGCATAGACATTATGGCCAGTGAAGAGGTGCAGAAATGCCTCCATCTGAACATTAGGATTCGACGCTTAGAGAAATGTTTTTGCTGTGATAAGTTGATGAGAGGATCATCAAAAAAAGTTTTTCAGATTTGCTCAGTGTCTACCAAGCATCCGCTCATTAATGGGATGCAGAACAGTTATGCTTTTGAAATATTTACCAAGTTTTATATCATACTTATTTTATAATATAGTTTACAATTTACAGTGTAAATATATACGACGTATGCACAAATATCCTTTTATTCATTTATTTATTTTTATTTTATATAATCCGTCTTCATCTTTACTGTACGGATCCGTCTACTGTGCAGATTCTCACATTTGGTTCATTTCCTCGCATCCATCATTCCCGAAGGTCCTCCAACTTTTACATGTGGCTTCGGCTGCTGCTTGTCGATTTTCATTGAATATCGTGGCATATCGCTGCCTTCCAATGGCTTACCGCCTCATCGTGGCTAGAAGGTGTTCCTGGGTGTCGGGCTACGATGTACAGAGGCGGGATTCATCTCCCAGGCAGGGTCTCCCAAGCTGAGAAGGAGTCCAGAGTATCCATTAGGAAGCCCAGCTAAGAGTAAGCCAATACCAGGATCCACCACCGTCGTGGTATCAAGCTAGTCACATGATGGCAAATCTCACTCTGATCCACAAGGGCTGTGACCGCTTGTGGTGGTGACGAGCTGGGACAGACTTTAGCCATGCTAACTTCGGAATACCAGGGAAACACAGTGGCCAAACCAGTAAAACTCCGAAATATGGTGAATATGCTTGGGAACGCACAACCAGTAAGGATAGGCCGTCCAAGTAAGCAAGTAAGTAGTAACAGTAGCGGATGTAGCAACAACATTTTTGCAATTATTGGCGAGAACAAACTAACGGAGACGAGCTATCGGTGTAGAGGTGTCATCCGTCATCGAGCAAGTCAGACAGGTTTAAAAACTAATAGTGTGCTACATCTCCAGTTATTGAGGGACCGCTACCGGCAAATACCAGAATTCTATAGGTATAACCACCTGTAATGCACAGCTTCAATAACTTCGATACCTTGTACATTTTGTACGGGATATAGTGATGGAAGACGATTTTACCTCTGAAAGATACAATGGATTCTTCAATATATAAGTACTTTCTAGGCCTGTACATTGTGCTGCAGTTTCTGTTGATGTGGTCGATTAATGGCCTAACCTTGTACATGTTTTGTCAGTAACACTTCCCATTATGGGAAAAGTGGTGGTTTGTCAACTTTCAAATCTCCTCGTTGCAACATGTGCTGCGGTAGGATGTCACGAAGAGCAGGATTTGCACTCCAGTAATCTCTCGAATGTGGTAGCTGAACAATATCATCTGAAGGCAAAGACGAATGAATCTTCTCATCTAGCCCATATATCCAGAACCTCCTCAACATTGGTTAAACAACCACTCTTACTTCTCTGGTAGAATTGTAGAAAACTCCACCAGCTCATTGACGTTTCCAAATTTTTCACCTGCTGATTGACCTCTACTTTCAATTCATACATACTGGAAAACCCTTTCAACAAAGTGACTCCTTCTAACAAGCGTATCTCATCGCTTAACGAACTACGAAAAGGAGTTGAAATAAGAACTATTTGAACCTAGAAGTCTTTGCCAACGAGGTGCAATTTCTATTCGTTGGCCACGATAAAAATTTAGTTTCTTTAGTTGAAAGTTTCAACATTAAATTGGTTTAAAAAATAGAGAGCGACATCTTAGAAAAGTTACTACTTCTATATGCAGTGATAAAGCAAAGTCTGTTCCGCAAGTCTGCCAAGTTACACGCTTCATAATTTCTCTTGAAATTATAGAGTGTCGATATAAAACAATGCCGGACCTTTTTTATTTTATTTGTTCGTTTATTTCCTTTTATTTTCACTGCAGGGTACTACGTGAATTAAAGTCACAATGATTCCGAGTTGCAAAACCTGGACCCCCGGTTAGATTCGAACCCATGGTTAGGCTTTCCGAAGCTCACGTGGTACCCACTGCACCACAGATGTCCTTATTCGGACATTCTCTCAGCCAGTTCTTTACTCTAAAAAGTCATACATTGTGATTTGCACTACAGCCTCAGGTTCACTGGGCCCACTGGTTGACGGTTGATTGCTAATAGAACTTTGTTCACGATTAAGCTGACGTTTCGGCGAATTTCGCCTTCTTCAGAGCCTGGAAAGGTCAAGTTGATAGCAACTCACTCGGCCAGACGCCTCCATAACCAAACAAAGAAACCCCAAACCAAGATTTCAATCACTTTGAACACAGCTTTGAACACGGCGCGAAAAACCCTCGAGGCACTCTGGATTAATTCCAGAAATCCGAAAATGAACCGCAGGGAAGAATGCCTCATTATCACGCGTGATATAGGGCAGTATATAAAACTG